GCAGCAAAACCGTACGCATACTTCCTTACAGTGGACTCGGCTCTCGATTCCGACAATAAATCTGGCAGACTGCTAGCCAACTGGCGTACAGGAACAGGAAGTTGATCAAGTTCATTCTTATATGTACACAGGAACACATCTGTAACAATGAAAACCTCAATCAGCGGAAATCAACAAGAAGAGCAAGCATGTTAAAGTGCAGATCAGTTTCTCCAAACATTCCTCCTGGAATCCTACTCGCTGTATAAGACTCTCTGGAAGTAGGCAAATATATACAACCTTTAACTTGTGGAATAAACATTGAATTTGAACTTAATAAAGGCCAGAAGCAAGCAGAATGCCACTCGGGGACGACAAGCGTTCCCATCGCACCACACTGTGCCAAATGCTTGATCGTCTGGGGAATCAGACATATAGGGGGCACAATCCAGTTCATTATTCCCTTCCAGTTCACAGTGAAGCAGTCAACAGCAGCACAACCGGGGCTGCTATAACGAGAATTAAATACCTCTAGTTTGGTATTGTAATAGGTTGCAAACCTATCAACTTCATAAGGGCCCCATTTGGCGTTTACATTATCAAATATGTTTTTGGCAATGCCCCAGTCGTCATAGTCGACCATCCGACTTAGGTAATCTGCTTTTTGGTTCTCATAACGTGGAATCCACTGTAATTGTAAGTTAATCCCATTCTTCACACACAAGTCAAATATTTCCAGAGCTAGAGACTGTAAGTGAACCTTCATGCTACCTTTCTCAATAATTGTAGCTACATTTTTGTTGTCTGTAAACCACTTGACACTTTGGTGTGATAAACTAGTCACAAAACTCTGCAAAACCATAAGCACTGCTTTCAGCTCCCGCCACGTCGAGCTACGCAATGCCTCATCCCTTGACCACAGCCCATGAGAAGGGACATTATCTACTTCCACACAGTAACCACCGAATCCAGTATCACTGGCATCTGAATATACAAGTCTCTTCGATACTGTTGTCTGAACTAAATATCTGGAACAATACTTGTTTATGCAATCTGACCAAAACTTCAACTGTTTGATACTCGAATATGACAACTCAATAAAGCTCTGCCATGACGGAGCTGCAACCACGTCAATACTCAAAGATCTTGTCATCAGCTGTGAAATTGGACCCATTACAATTTTCATAGATATTATCTGACCAACAACAGAAGCTATGTATTTAACTGGAAAACGCCTGTGCTTAGACTGCAATAACGCAGTAATGTCCTTCAATACCTTATTCCTTTTCCTGTCTGGAACGCTCATGGTCATAGATATTGTGTCAATCCTGAAACCTAACCACTCTATTGACTGCGACGGCAACCAAAGAGACTTTTCAACCTTGGGAACGAAACCTGACCTAAGTAAGTCCTGTTTAACAGCTGCACCTGACATGTGAGCTTCGTCCTGGGTAGAACCTGAGAGAATACCATCATCTAAAAAAGATACTACTCTGTATCCCTCATACCTCCATGTCTTAACCAACTGTCTTGTGACTATGAACACATATGGAGCCGATGTTAACCCAAACGGGAGTACAAGGATTTTATAGTAGTGAACGACTCCTGTTTGATCAAACCATGCGAATCCGAGATAATCTGTATGAGGGTGGAAAATATCGATGTGTTGATAAGCGGAATGGATATCAAATTTTATGAGCCAGTCATTATTTCTGATGTAATTCAAAGCTGTATGCCAATCATCATATTTTACACTCTGTTTGTACACATAGCTGTTAATTCTATGAAGATCAAGGATCAATCTCTTCTTCCCAGAAGACTGGACTGAAACAGACAGTGGACTGACGACAGTGGGAGGAATATCGCACTCGCATATAAGGCTTTTCTTTTTTAGCTCATCAATGGCTTGTGTCACAAAATCTCTGTGTTTGAAAGCTGATTGATTGTTTTTTATAAACATTGGAGGTGGCTGAAAGCAAAATGGGATTTTATAACCTTTAGCAATCAAATCTACAACAAACTGTGAAGAACCAATGTTTATCCAAAATTGCAAACTGTTTTTGAGACGCCCTTTAACCTTAATTTCAGATTTACCCTGTTCATACTCATAATAATCATCTGTTAGAGTCTTGGAAAAACACAAATCATCGACAACATCATGTCTATACTCAACTGACAAGCCTTGTGAACTATTGATTCCCTTGTGCTGATTCTCCAGCTGTGAACGTCGACAATCTCTGGGTTGACATGTTTTGGGGACAGTCTCTCCTGAAGCGACTGAAGTCGCCGCATGTGAAGCATGCTCCTGTCTTTTGACGTTTGACTCGAAAAAGCTGATTGTTGATTGGTTGAATATGTTGAACAGAAGAAGCAGGCAAAAAAGCAGTTTGCACGGGACGAGTATAGGTTGCCGATCGCCTAGTTGGCCTACTTCCATAGGGCGTTTGGCGTGCAGGTTTCTGGCGTAATTTACGCACAGCCTTGTTGTCGGCCCTCGCAATTTTCCGATCGTCGTCGGAATCATCCGCCAGCTCGTTAGAAACATAGTTCCGAACAGTCTCCCAACCGCCCTCAGACGAATCTGCTAATTTTATCAGTTTATTGCGTTTTTGAAGCCTTGTGATTTCTGACGTGATCAACGTTTCACAGTCCTCGATACGTTGATTTTGAATAGCGGCCAGAATTTGATTTAGTGAATCTATAGTCTCTTCATTGAAATTATGTTGAATTTTGTTACCCTCCCGACTCCAAGCATAGTCTTTTTCAGCACGCAGTTTCTTGACCTCTTTGGTAGTCTGCTGAAATTCTTCTCTCAATGCTCCGATGCAGTCATTGAGCAAGAGTTCAAATTGAGCTTTGTTAGACTCTAATTGCTGAAGTATTGCATCCAGTTTGGCGTCCGTGTCCATATTAAATATGACGTTATGGCCGTGCTTGTACTAGAGCGAGAATGAACAATTCAAATCTTAATACCCTTAAATACCCCTGTTTAGCGCCACCTACTGGCTCAGACTACTCTACTTACATCAAAGCTCCACACCACTAGGAGAAAGTAATTTCCTTCTTATTCATCCTTCAACCGAAAGAAATGACATGATTCATTAACCTGTGCTGTGCCGTCTCCATCTTTTCTCGCACACCTGGCTGTCCCTTTCTCTGCACTCCTCCCTCGTGCAAAATAGTGAACTGTGAACCATGTTACAACACTGTAATGACTATATAGCATGTCTCTGCTATACAACATGTTACAACACTGTAATGACTATATAGCATGTCTCTGCTATACAACATGTTACAACACTGTAATGACTATATAGCATGTCTCTGCTATACAACATGTTGCAACACTGTAATGACTATATAGCATGTCTCTGCTATACAACATGTTACAACACTGTAATGACTATATAGCATGTCTCTGCTATACAACATACAACTATATGTTCTCTGCTATACACTGTAATGACTATATAGCATGTCTCTGCTATACAACATGTTACAACACTGTAATGACTATATAGCATGTCTCTGCTATACAACATGTTACAACACTGTAATGACTATATAGCATGTCTCTGCTATACAACATGTTACAACACTGTAATGACTATATAGCATGTCTCTGCTATACAACATGTTACAACACTGTAATGACTATATAGCATGTCTCTGCTATACAACATGTTACAACACTGTAATGACTATATAGCATGTCTCTGCTATACAACATGTTACAACACTGTAATGACTATATAGCATGTCTCTGCTATACAACATGTTACAACACTGTAATGACTATATGACTATATAGCATGTCTCTGCTATACAACATGTTACAACACTGTAATGACTATATAGCATGTCTCTGCTATATGTTACAACACTGTAATGACTATATAGCTATACAACATACAACATGTTACAACACTGTAATGACTATATAGCATGTCTCTGCTATACAACATGTTACAACACTGTAATGACTATATAGCATGTCTCTGCTATACATGTTACAACATGTTGACATACATGTCTCTGTAATGACATGTTACATATAGCTGTAATGTCTCTGCTATACAACATGTTACAACACTGTAATGACTATATAGCATGTCTCTGCTATACAACATGTTGCAACACTGTAATGACTATATAGCATGTCTCTGCTATACAACATGTTACAACACTGTAATGACTATATAGCATGTCTCTGCTATACAACATGTTACAACACTGTAATGACTATATAGCACTGTAATGACTATATAGCATGTCTGCTATACAACATATACTGTAATGACTATATAGCATGTCTCTGCAACACTGTAATACTATAACATGTCTCTGCTATACAACATGTTGCAACACTGTAATGACTATATAGCATGTCTCTGCTATACAACATGTTACAACACTGTAATGACTATATAGCATGTCTCTGCTATACAACATGTTACAACACTGTAATGACTATATAGCATGTCTCTGCTATACAACATGTCTCTGCTATACAACATGTTACAACACTGTAATGACTATATAGCATGTCTCTGCTATACAACATGTTACAACACTGTAATGACTATATAGCATGTCTCTGCTATACAACATGTTGCAGGACCATAGTCCCCCAGATAACATCTTATGAGAATTTGTAAGCTACACCTGCGTATGCAAATGAACAACGCAAATATATACTTGCTCTGTACGCTACAATTAAGACATAAAAATGTAATCCTGTTTTGCTCCACATGTACCTCAGAATACCTAAAAAGGATTTGAGTGTTCAGTATTTTTGTTGATTGTATATATCACCTCTCGATAGCTCTCTTGTAACAATGAATCATAATTCAAGATGGTCATATTTTGGAATTAACTAGCGACTGATGAATTGTCGAGGAACATTACTGAGGATCATGGTCACGTGATTATTGTCATTTTAATATTCGAGTGTTGTGTTGATTCACCGTTACAATCCTGTTTAAATGAATGTATGTCTGGTTTTGAATAATGTTGAACAGAGGACGCCAGTGACAGCATAGATCATTGGGAGGATATAGTGAACAATGCTGACACAAGGAGGACCGAGTTCATCTACAACTTGGACGATGTAAAGGCAGGCGTGGACGACGGGCACGCCGCTATCAGGTTGGTGGTGCTGCTATTAGCTTGTTTGTTGATATTGCAGTCGGACGTGGCAAGTCGTCGAAAAAATGATATTTGATCACGAGCAAGGTTACACACTTACAGTCGTGCAAGACACTAACAGTTATGGGTTCGAATCCTGGTCTCATCAGGCTGACAAGTTGTGAAACCCCAGACAATGTAAAGGTTTGTTGGTTGATTAACTCCGCACTCAGCAATATTTTAGCTATATGGCGACATCAGTCTACGCAATTGGAATACGATGACATGTGTCAGTGAACCTGATCACCCAATCCCGTTTGTGATCTCTTACGACAAGCATGGGCTGCTGAAGACCAATTCTAACCCGGATCTTCCGGGTCCCACGTACTGTACAGGGGAGCCACAGGGGGATCACATTAACGTTAAAACAGTCTGTTGTTTCTGTTCAGATACGGGGACTACAAGCTGATCCATGGCCCCCCGGGTCGATACGACGGCTGGTACACCCCAGACAACTCTACCAACAGAACACAGCTGAACTACTCTCAACCGTTAGATCTTGAAACACCATCTAACTCATACTGGCTGTTTAACCTAAAAGGTAAGTGAGTGAGTGAGTGAGTGAGTGAGTGAGTGAGTGAGTGAGTGAGTGAGTGAGTGAGTGAGTGAGTGAGTGAGTGAGTGAGTGAGTGAGTGAGTGAGTGAGTGAGTGAGTGAGTGAGTTAAGATTTAAAGTCACAATGGCACTATTTCAGCCATATCGTGACTAAAACTAGTTCTAATTCATAATGCATACATATAATATATAAAACCCTGTCAACGAAGGACAGTTAAAGTACTAGATTATCACAACATGATTTAAAAATAGCTAGCAAATATCTTTAAAAGTGGAAACTATTTTTGGAAAATACAATGTAAAAATGGGCTATTTATCGCCAACAACTGAAGGTAGATCATCATACTAGGGTCCCTAAAAGGTAAGTATCCTCTAAGGGGAGGGTGGAGTGGCCGTATGGTTAAATCGTTCACTGAGTATTGCTCCATGGCGGAATATATTGGTTCCGTCCCTGTCGCCATCATACCGATTAACGTTACACCATTGTACTTCTTCTTACCCGCCCAGCTCTCGGCATCCAGGGAATTAAACAAGGACAGGTGTACTCAGAGTTAGTATAATATCACGGCATGGTTTATTGACGTTCAAATCGGCTATTGAATCGGCATCCGCACAACAAGAAAACTGTGTACAACAACACTCACGTCATATTTCAAAGCGTCACATAGAGTGTGTAGAGAATGTGTAGTTTTGAAATGTGAATGCATTATTTTTGGTATATAAATTCATACACTTCGGATATGATAATACATACTTCTGTTCAATGTTTCTGAAACATTTGAGCCGCAAAGAGGGCACGGGTGATCATGTTTGAGTGAGTGAGGGAGTAAGTATTGTTTTAGCAATATTCCAGCAATATTATGGCGGGGGACACCAGAAATGGGCTTCACACATTGTACCCATGTGGTGACTCGAACCCGGGTCTACGGCGTGAGGAGTGAACGGTTTATCCACTAGGCTACCCCACCGCCCCTGATCATGTTTGAAGCACCGAAATCCGCTGACAGAGCTAAGTCCCTCAGGTTGACAGGAGCATATTCCACACTCTCGCCTTCCTGTCACAACAGACTATTGCTACAAGAGTTTACAATTACTGCATTGTTGCAGATGATCCCTATGAGAGGAAGAACCTGATCTGTCTTCAGGGAGTAAAACCGTACTCACTCACTCAATAAAATGTTTCTACTTGTGCAGATGATCCCTATGAGAGGAAGAACCTGATCTGTCTTCAGGGAGTAAAACCGTACTCACTCACTCACTCACTCAATAAAATGTTTCTACTGGTGCAGATGATCCCTATGAGAGGAAGAACCTGATCTGTCTTCAGGGAGTAAAACCGTACTCACTCACTCACTCACTCAATTAAATGTTTCTACTGGTGCAGATGATCCCTATGAGGGGAAGAACCTGATCTGTCTTCAGGGAGTAAAACCGTACTCACTCACTCACTCACTCAATTAAATATTTCTACTGGTGCAGATGATCCCTATGAGAGGAAGAACCTGATCTGTCTTCAGGGAGTAAAACCGTACTCACTCACTCACTCACTCAATAAAATATTTCTACTGGTGCAGATGATCCCTATGAGAGGAAGAACCTGATCTGTCTTCAGGGAGTAAAACCGTACTCACTCACTCACTCACTCAATAAAATATTTCTACTGGTACAGATGATCCCTATGAGAGGAAGAACCTGATCTGTCTTCAGGGAGTAAAACCGTACTCACTCACTCAATAAAATATTTGTACTGGTGCAGATGATCCCTATGAGGGGAAGAACCTGATCTGTCTTCAGGGAGTAAAACCGTACTCACTCACTCACTCACTCAATAAAATGTTTCTACTGGTGCAGATGATCCCTATGAAAGGAAGAACCTTATCAACAGGCGACATGGCATCGAGGAGAAGCTGAAGAAGAAGCTGGAGGAGTACCACAAGGACATGGTCCCAGCAAACTTTCCGGACGATTCCGATGAAGCTGACCCGGAGCTGTTTGATGGCGTCTGGTCTCCTGGGTGGTGTTAGCTACCCGGCATATCTGACTGAATTACGGGTGGCTAAAGCTCTCGCTCGTTCCGACGAAGGCTTTGTTTCGACTTCCACATAGCCACAATGTGTATAGCCAACTCCTGAAACAAAATGTTAACTTTGTAACTTCAAACCTGTATTGGTATACAAGTGGTTGAGGCGTTTGCTCGTTACCATGAAGGGCCGTTTTCGATACCCCACATAAGAAAGATTTGTAATTTTAAGCTCATTTCTGATATCCACGTTGATAAAAGGACTGAAAGAATTCTGAAAACGACTTCAAACAATAGCGACTGAAGGTGAAATTTGTTTTAATGTCGTGCTTGAGAATATTACGCTCATATGACGACGTGCAATTCATGTGTATGTGTATGTGCGGCTGCTTGTACTAGCCCAGAATTTAGCTGGTTTTATAGTGCTAGCCAACTGAGATACCATGCCGCAGTGAAGCATGAATACCCCTCTCAGACACATTATACTGACTCCGAGCCAACCAGTCCTTGTTGTACCCATTAATGCCGAGCACCAGGCAGGGACCAACAAACGTCTTTTGGTATGACGCGGTCGGGGATCGAACCGGCGACCTTCCGCTCTTCGGGCGGACGCTCTAACCACAACACCACGGAGGCGGTCGGGAAGGTTAAGTGAACAAGAGATAAGGTTCAATGTAACATGGTGATATTTTCAAAGAATATTATTATATATGCCATTTTGTTCATTTGGAATATGAAGCATCGAAATATGCTTTTATATTTAAAATAGGGAGATGGGGACTGCTACACGTCAGTCTACGAGGGTGGGGTGATAAAATCAGCTTCCTGCAAAAAAAATATTTTGGGGGGAGAGGTAAAACGTACCAATCGGGGCCCCTAGCTGCTTTATGACAAATTGTTACATGGCCCTGACACGTGATTAGTGAGTAATATTTCCTCCGGTGATTTGGGGATTTGCGGGGTGATACACCTACACCGCGCAAAGAAGGACTTACGTTTTATCCGAAAATAAATCCATGTTAAACGACCATACTTGCGTGTAGTAAAGAAACATACACTCATTAATGAGCAATCGCAAATGTGCAACATAACTAAGTTATTGCATCTAAATCGCTTGAAAATGAAAAAGTCGAGCTGTTGTGAGGTAGGTGACACTTCGAAGAGGAATCGTTCCACGAAAAATGATATCAGATATCAAATATCGACCTATCCGTTAAAATGTTTTCATCTATGGAATAGCACTAGATTAGTTATTTACAGTTTATAATGTTACTGCTCATCGCATATAAAGTGGACACGTTGGTAAGAGCTAGATAGGGCCTCAACATAGCCTCTGTCACAGTTGCAGACTCCGACTGGGTTCGGTCTTTCAAAATCAGTTAAAGGGGCACTGATCTAGAGCAATTCCCATGGACTACATTTGCTTTAGGTTTGTTTCACCGTTCACAACCTGGTTCTAGATTTTCGAAGCTCTCTTAACGCTAAGATCGTCGTAAGTTAATTTTAATTAATGGCACTTACGTCTATCTTAGCGCTAAGACAGCTTCCAAAATCTAGGCCCTGGACATATTTATCTCTGGATTTATCTCTCTAATAAATCATCTATGATGACCAACTGTGATTATTTAAAGTAATATATCAAGCGATCATATGATTTTTCTTATCAGTTACAGCATCACACGACATTCAACTATTTCAGTTGTCACAGAAACAAATATTCATTTATTGATACAGTTTATTGATTGGGTGATACGGTTTTATTTGTCATGTCATGTCATGCCCTTATGAGTGTCCATTAGGTCACCTAGCAACCCACGTATGAGGTCACGTGAGAGGGATTAAAAACTCTTTAATCAAACTCATGAAATGAAGTAGGTCACCTGTCAAAATATCATCAACCCCTCTGCTTACAACATGCGATGGCTGAGTGAGTTAGGCGGCTGACTTTGTGCTGGTGATTAGGTGCCTGACTCTGAGAGTGTGGGTTCGATTCCCGGATGTGACTCAACCCCCCAAAAAGTACAAAACTTTGTATATTACTGCGGGAGTTTAATCCTAAATAGAACATGTGTTACATATGACCTTCTTTAAAATCCCTATGTCTACTCATTCTGTTGAATGCTTCAAGTGAGTGAGTGATACGATGACATGTGTCAACCAAGTCGGCGAGCCTGACCACCCGATCCCATTAGTCGCCTCTTACTACAAGCATGGGTTACTGAACATCAATTCTAACCCGGATCTTCACGGATAATTTGCTGTCTACTAAAGTTGAATATTGTACAAACATATTTTCCTATGTGATTTTGTTATCTATAGCAGTGGCAAAATGAAAATGAATGAGTTACTGCTTCAAATAAATCAAATGTGTGTTTTTAGTATTATAGGTCAATTGACATGACATTATTACAGACATGGTCAGAAACACAGAAATGCCATCCTAATCAGATCAATCATCACACCATCCACGCTTCAGAAATCCAAGCAGATCGATGCTCATTCTGTTGATCACTGGATTGTCTGGTCCAGACTCGATTATTTACAGACCGCCGCCATATAGCTGGAATATTGCTGAGTGCGGCGTAAAACTAAACTCACTCACGGTTTTTCTCCCACACAACAGCAGTCCAATTGACCCAACTGCCAGAAAATCTGAAATCATGTGACAATTTCTCAAGTTTTAAAACTCTACTCAAGACCCATCTCTTCCGGGTGGCGTACCTCTAAAACTCTTTCTTACCTACTTCAAACCGCGTTGAGCATGACACTGAACGTGGATATAGCGCTGTAGAAATTGACTTTATTATCAATTTTTGATGATATATACGTTTGACCAATATCAAACTAATTTAGAAAATATCTATTCATCTACTGACCACGTTTATACTTCATATCCAACAATTCAAATAACTTTCATAAAGAGGACATAACTAAATAAAGCATTTGCAGATTTTGAAATAGAAATTTGTCTATTAATAACATTCTGCCTTTAATTCACAAAAGTTGGTCCGAGTGATGCGTTGTTGTGTTTGTCTTAATGGACTGCGCCAGGGTTGTATTCATAGCCCGATTCTCTTCTCCTTCTTTATGAGTGATTGTGAAAAAGAAACAAAAAATAAATTGGTAAACATGGTGTACAAATGTTCACTAATGATGTACGAACTCTAACACAATTGAAAATTTTGGGAAAATGCAGTAATGAATGGAAACTATCAGTTGGTTTGGATAACTAACATTGTAGTAGGGTCGACATCTACGGACGAAAAATACTTTTTTTTCAAGGAAAACCAATGTCAGTATCACACGGTCAATGAGCAATGAACACGCACTGGTGAAGAAAGCAGGATTAGGTTACTATTCATTAAAGCAACTCAATAACTCAAGAACGTGAAATCAAAATTACAATCTACTTTGGAATAGTTGGTAATATAGCGAACGATTGTGCGTCTTTTTCCAATCTGAAACCTTTTGGAATAACAATGCTAGCAGTTGTTAAATAGACACATGATTAAGAATAAAGCCTGGTCGGGAGAAGACATCAACAGAAAGGTTGGCCAATAATGGGATACTTATGGCCATAGGACGAACCCCAAGTTCTAATAGTGAAGTGTTTATGGTCAAGTTTCCTTTAGAAATGTGCATTTAATGATGAAGGCATCAAAATTGATCATCATATAAAAGAACATCACATAATTTTGGATAAGGAGGCAATTCATATTTTGCCCTATACAATAGACAAAATAGTCCATACTATTTTCAATGTTTCATCTTAAAACTCAGTATAGCCAATCATTACACACCATAATTTCAGGATTAATGATATAGAGGTACACGTAAAGAGAAGAAATGCTTAATCTTACATTTGACATCCCAAAACGATAAATGCTCCTTTATTCAAAATAGCAGCAAGCAAAAAGGTTTTAGCTAACATTGAGCTGTATGACAAAAGATATGTACATTTGGTTTTATCTGATCAATATTGACTGAAAATGCACATGTGTAGCAAAAGAACTCCAGCACAATAGTGCATCAGTTACAGTTTTGAGTATTTTTATCAATTACAGCTCTAAGTGATAATTCCCCAACTTCGTGACCCAAGGGCTAGTGAGGGAGATAATCCAGTCAAACGATTTTGGGCCCGGTTATAATGGTCATTGGTGTTCCAGGTCTTGGACGATCCTTTACTTCACCGGTGGCCATGTGTTTACCTCAAAAGTGGCTTAATGTTTAAATTATTACTAATGTTGCGACTGGCCATCCCTGCCATCGTGTATTGTCTGAACGTCTACGTCTTGCCATGTCAATAAAGGTTACTTTTTAGAACTTTTGACTTTTCAATAATTTCAGAAAAACGTAGTACTGCGATTTCGAAATGTACATTCCACTTTCCTCGGCACCTTCGCAGCATGAAAAACGTGTGACCTATAGGAAAGGAGTAATTCCGATACAAAGGAACGGTGTTTGACAGAACAAAGCAGTGTTTTACAGTGTTTTACCTAATAATTCATCTTTGACTGGCAAATCAAAATGAAATTGCATAAAATGAGTAAAGAAGAACTGAAAACAATTAGGAGCGGCATAGAACAGCTATACACTCTGCCGGAAATTAAGATGATATTTTCCGTCATGAAAATTACACACCATCGCTATCTGACAATGACACCGTTACAAAAAGGTGAAATGATAGCGCATACAGAAGATGTTGTTACAGCAACATCAGAAGCGCCATCTCTTACAAGTTTGATTAATGACGGATCGATGAGTGTTCAAATTTGAAACCTGGTACTGTTAAAAATGCACAATATGAAAAGATTTTGTTACGAACAGTAGCTACAGATGTTGTAGTTTTGACAGTCACGCTCAATACATGTCATCCCACCAACATAGACGCGATTATTTACAGACCGCCTTCGTATAGCCGGAATATTGCTGAGTGTGGCTTTACACGACAAACAAACAAGACGTGAAATATACTGAGTCAAAAAAGAAACTTCACATTCTTTCTTCAGGGCAACTATAAAAGAACAAGAGATGGTAAGATGGTTAAATTGTTATTATTTCATTGCTGAGATCTGTGTGATGTACTCGATATACTGACAGTGCCATAATCAGTTCCATTAGGCTACACCGCCGTTCCAAAACATGGGTATACAGAATGTCAAGTCACGAGAATAAAAATGCGAAATTTCTCAGTTTAATATCGTGTATGGCCGCCCCGCGCATTCACCACTGCCAAACACCGTCTCCTCATCGACTGCCTGATGCTTGTGAACACGTGGTTGGGGATTCTGCGCCATTGCTCTTGCAAGGCAGTGTAGACCTGGGCCATGAGCCGCCATGAAAGGAACGAGTTCAGGGGTGAGCACCTGGTCGCGGTAAGCAGCATCTGTGAGTTTTCACGGATGACCAGAAGTCAGGAACGGTTGTTCCCACAGAAAGCACCCCACACCATGCAACTTCCGCCCCCGAACCTGTCGACTTCCTGTACACAACATTGGGCATACCGTTCACGACGTCGTCTCCAGAATCTATGCCTGTCGTCCGCGAATCTGAGGGTAAACCTGGATTCATCGCTAAAGACGACTTGATTCCAGTCTCTCTGGGTCCATCGGAGGTGACGTTGGTCCCACAGCAGACGTTGACGTTGATGAAACGGCGTCAATATTGGCCCACGATATGGACGTCGAGAATGGAGATTGGCAGCCCGCAACCGATTTCGAATGGTCTGTGAGGACAGTCGACCTCTAAACATCTCAGCCCTGGTTCGTGTAGCCGGCAGAAATCTGTCACGTAGGTGACGTAGGACGATTTGACGGTCTTCTGCTCGTGACGTCACACATGGACGACCCGACCTTGGGCGATCAGAAGTGGTGCCAGTTTGTTGTGGACGACCTCGCAAGTCATACACAGTACGACGGCTGCATCCCATTGCTCTTGCGACGTCAATAACTGATCTTCCCGCTTGCAACATGCCAACAGCACGTTCACGTTGCACATTTGACAATCGTGGCATTTTAGGTACCGTTAGAACTGTGGTTTAAAAGTGTTTTTTTCAATTCTTGAGGCCAATGCAAACACGTGCATATGAAGAAAACTTCAATGCGAAGATCATGTGATCGACTGCACGTGCAAAACCTGATTTGGCACTAAATCATTTGCACGACGAATGGATGGGTTTGAGTGGGTTTTGCTAACGTTTTTCTAGAGTCGAAAGATAGGGATCCCATTTCGGATACATGGATGTATCATCAGAGACAAATTATTCATTATTTTTCAAATTACACATTTTGTGAAGTTTCTTTTTTGACTCAGTATATACTATGAACCCGCGAAGTGGTCTTCAGCAACCCATGCTTGTAAGAGGCGACTAACGGGGTCGGGTAATCAGGTTCGCTGAGTTGGTTGACACATGTTATCGTATCCCAACTGCGTAGATCGATGCTCATGCTTGTTGATCACTGGATTATCTAGTCAAGATTCCCCTATATTGCTAAGTATGGAGTTTAAGACTGACTGACCGACTGAATTTGGTTTTACGCCGCTTCTAGCAATATTCCAGCAACATCACGGCGGGGGACACCAGAAATGAGCTTCACAAATTGTACCCATGTGGGGATTCGAACCCGGGTCTTCGGCGTGACGAGCCAACGCTTTAACCACTGAGCTACCCCACCGCCCCTGTAGTTAAGGAACAAACTAACAAACAATGTAAATGTTTTAGCACATCCATTACGTATCAGATATAAAGTTCTGTGGGTGTTAGAAATCAATATAAATAAGTACGAATTTTGTAATTTGTGTTTATAAGTATTTTTTAAAATCTGAAGTAGTGTTTTGTGGAGTAGTGCGGTTATGAGTCCTCACCATAGGCTGCAATAGGCTGTAGTAATTTAGTCCCTTTGTTTGAGGAAGTACTCTCCAATGCGCGTGTTATTCCTCTCGAGTATCTCAAGGGTACCGTTAGAGCTGTATTCCCGACGAACAAACGGGTAGATTGCCTTCAACAGGCCACACGGTAGAGTTGCCCATTTGTGCCTAGGGACATAATGTTCCAATCTGTGATCATAATGCTTGTTCTCACAGATGCTGATGTTGTAGGTTTGGAGTATGACGACATCTGTATTCCTCGGTGTGGGCAGAAGGAGGCCCATGAAAGGCCGCTTGTCCAGGGGAAATACGTCATTCCGTTTAAACACAAAACGAGAGTAACTTGGATCTGAATCACGAATGTAGGTCCTATTTTCTTTATAAAAGCTTATGTCTATCGACGGCCATTTCCACGAAAACCCACGTGCATTGGAAGCATTTCGATGATAAAACTTCCATCGGTAAGAGTTACCTTGATTCACAATAAAATATGGTTCAAGTTTGGACAGTGAAGTGACCAATCGCCGTGCATCCGTAGCTCGCACCACAAGGTCAAGGTCGTCATCCCAGGGAATCATGCCGTGATGACGATAAGAACCAAGCAGCGACCCGGAATACAAAAAATACTTAATGTTCGATGGCACGGTTTTCATAAAGATTTCAAGAAGATTCTTAAATGAATATCTCTCCTCTTCGGTTATTTTGACATCAAAAAGTTCAATTAACTTCCTCATTTCATTTGTTTCCAGTATGCTCTTAGGAGTTACTGGTGCTGTTGAACCCCATGTCTGTGTCTCCGGAGACTTGGACAGGATTGCGATTGCTCCTCTCTCACGTATCTGGGTCCGTGCAGACGATGGCCGGATCTCGCTGGTGGCTGCTGGTTCTGCAGAGTCCATATTGTGGTGACCCGGGAATGATGACATTGTCGGTACTGCTGCAAAGTTGAAGCTGAAGACAACGATGCATGTCATTACCGCTGTCAGACACAATGCACGCCTTCTCGCTCTGCAGATGATCATCGCGTCCTGGAATAATATAATTGTATATAGAAGCGACAAAACCCTTTCCACATTCCTAAGAAATGTCTGCTAAAAGCAGAGTCTATTTTACAATTGTGACTATATCAAGAGTATATATTTGTTTCAGCAGCATTACAGCTGTACAATGTTGTTTGTAAACAAATTGAGTTTGGACCAGACAATCCAGTGATTGTCACCATGCAGAGCATGTGTTTAGGAATCATTATGAAATAGTGATGATACCAGGTGTTCGCAAAAAGGTGATCGTATCCTGCCCCACCGGTAGCAGATTGGAGATAGAATCATCCTCCTCTCTGTAGGAAACCATAGTTAAACAAGAAACACCACCACTGCTACAGCATACAAATCCGTCTGTCACTGTTCGTGTAAAGCGACAACAGCCTTTCCATAATTGTATAGAAAATCCTTCTTCCATTCTAGGATTCTGGCATGTTTCTCTGTATATCAAAATGAAATAGTGATGGTATCATGTAAATGGTTCACAAGCACTAACCGTGATATCTTCAGTTGAGGAGCCTTAAGTTGTACATGGACGTGAGGACAATAATGAAACCAGTTAAAGGGGCGTTCACGTATAGCGAAAGCAATGCCAGGGATAACAGTCCAGGGGCGTGGCCCGCAGCCAGAATGTTTGTGTGGATTATAGTATCTGGAAATCGTAAAGAGGGCGTGCATCATCTGTGAGCGACAGCTACAGGTATAAATGTGACACAGTCAATAACAGCTGCCACAGGAAGATTGCAGCATGGCTGTGGATGAGGAACAACGACTTGGGCAGGATGATACACATTTGCTGAGGACCATCCTATGGGGAATCCTGCTGGTCACTGAGTGAGTGTCTCGTATTTACCAAGTGAGCTTGCTACTCATCTCAGATGATCCCGCTACCCTCAGTAGATGAATCATTGAACAAGCAATTATATATGCTTCACATATGTTGATGGTGGGTTCCAATCTCAACACTGTTTGTGATCCTTAGTCTGCTACCTCCATATGTATGGTGATCCATCGATTTGACCTAACTACACTCTTACAACTCCCACTATTCATTTAACAGTTATTGAATTATCTCACCCATGAATTTTGTGCCATGTTACTTATAAACAAACTTTCAATCACTTACACCTCCAAAACATGAAATTTGTGCCATGGTACTTATAAACATGAAATTTGTGCCATGGTACTTATAAACACACTTTCATTCATTTACACCTCCAAAACATGAAATTTGTGCCACGGTACTTATAAACATGAAATTTATGCCATGGTAGTTATAAACAAAAGACTGTGTTGTGTTTGCCATAAAGGATATGTGGAAGACGAGTATCACTTTCTTTGAATATGCCCTTCTTATAGCAATTTACGTGAAAATGATATACCCACGAAGTATTACTTATATCCTTCTAAATCTAAGTTTAATGTCCTTATGTCAACCAAAGATTGTACCCTTATTAAGCATCTTGCAATGTTAATTTACCATGCAATGCCAATCCGTAGAACACTAAGAACAAACTTGAATGTCAACATTTAATCGAATTATAACGTCTCCTTATGACATGTACATACACGTATGTAGTTTTGGGCCGATGGCCTTCACTAACGGAATAAAGAAGTGAAAGTATGTTTTGTGTTTAATATAAAAAATGGATGATATGACAGATACTTCCAATATAGATGAAGGTACGGATGAAACAGGCTTTCAAGGAGAAAATCTTGGTGATGAACTTTTGCAGTCGACTGTTGATGACTATTACGATTGCTTAAAGGACGATGAAAATATACTGGAGATGAAATAGAAGTGTCAGCATTCTCAATAAACTGTTTCTGTGCATCAAATGCTGTACCTTGGCCAATAATGTTTGTAAGCGTGTGTCAGCGCACCACGAATAGCCCATACATATGTTCTATTCGAATCGTTAAGTCTCTCCAAATATGGAAATCCGAACTATCATCAAAGGCCATAATATCGTCCCTCCACTCATTATAAGCATACAACTTATACCCCTATTCTCTCAACTTTTCGCTGGCCTTGACGGGCATGTTGTGTGCGATTGGGATACCCAAACCATGATTAACTCCCGACAAGCGCCAATCCGCGTCCGCATAAAACCAAAATTCGATAGATCGTACGGATTATCGTACATAACCATCAATGTCTGTCAATATCGTAATAATCCTGGACGTATGACCGAACACTTGGGAGAATATGAAATACAGGATAAATAAAAAACCTGGTCATACACGATTTGAAGGGTATTTAAACATGTGTCATCAATAAACAACATTTCCAATTATTTCACGCGTTATAAATATATGACAGTGATGTAGTCATATGTATACAGCTTGCTGTAATAAGAAAAGCATTATTCGGAACCACATTGTGCTTGACATGCCACCCTCTATTCAATTTAATGATGACATCCTGACGTCATTTTCTTTCCTTAAAGATCACGATGAACGACAAGTATTTGCTGCCGAAAAGTAGGCCTTTGTATATACGAAAGACAGACAGTATTAAGGTTTTCGCCAGGAGGAGTTACAGAACACCAAACAAGATATAAAAGTGATGGATAACCAAGTTCTAGGGATAGTCAGCTTCTTTATTGCAATGAGTGCGACGTTTCGGTACTAATACCGTTATCAAGCAAGTAAAATGCTTCTCAAAGAAGATATAAAAGTGTTGTGGTACTTGTTTGGATAGAACAGCATTGGCATCATCCTCGATAATCTCCAGGGTATACGTTACGATCACTCTCCATTATACCCTGGATGCATCCACGGCTTGGCCCGATGATTTTATTACCTCCCTTGGCTGGCTTTTTATCCAATCGGGTGTCTACGCTTCATTCATTCATTCATTCATTCAACTCACTTTCGCTTCTTAAATTATGTAACTGTTTAAACTTAGCAGCACAGCAGAGGTAATCTAAAAGAGGTAGAAGGAGTTCTTTTATATATTTTTTCAGATCTGTCAATTTGTCTGTATTATTTCCTCAAAAATCTGAGTGGCACTGCGAACAAACCTTCGCGACGGCGACCGCTATCTTTGTTGACACTGGCAAGCTCGGATGTAACGGCAGCTTAGCTGATCGGCTACTGTGACTATGCGGAGCCAGCAAAGGGAGGTAATATAATCATCGGGCCAAGCCGTGGATGCATCCAGGGTATAGTGGAGAGTGATCGTAACGTATACCCTGGAGATTATCGAGGTTGCATTGGCATAAGCTGTTGTAATGCGCCTAATTTGTATGAAGCTATTTATAGAACATATGAAGCGAATGTATCACTTGCTGAAAGATGTCAATATTATACGATTTCAAGATCACATGTCAAATGTAACCTTTTTTAAAGAGTGTACTACAGAGTAGTGCAAAAAGTCTTCAGCAAATAATTGGAAAATTCAGTCTTTATGACAAATCTACGCTGATATTTCTACGCTATATCTCCGCTTCTAGCTTACGCATCCGATTGCAAACGCGCATATAAATAGATTAGGATGTCACGTGCTAGTCACGTGAGTTATGTTATCGTCTGCTATGAATACTTCCGGTTTACCTGATGCCGACGACATGGGACGAAAAAGTACCTAATTGTCGCCCGGTGTTAAGAATACGGCTGTAAGGTTGTATCAGGTCGGCAATTCTATCAATGAAATTAGTAGAATATTGGAGAAACCCCGAAGTACAATAAACGATGTGATTAAGAAGTTTAACAAAGGCTTCGAAGTGGAAGGGCAGAAATCGTGAGTGATCGTGATTACCGCGGGTTATACCCCCATTTCACTGGGCTACGATCGGTCCCGATTGCATTTTTAAAAACAAATCGCCAGCGATCGTATAATGTCGGAAATATACCTGGAGTAGTCGTCAGAGATCAGCAAGATACGTGAGTGTGTCTGCATAGTCTGGAGGTGATTTTTTAATCGGCCTAGGTTTTTGAACATGTTCAAAAACATGAGCCGATTGAAAAAAGTCATAAGTTATGCGTGACTGATCGGGATAGTCGCCAGTGTGTCGGGAGTTAATCGGGAATGCATCGGCAAGCATCACGAGCAATCGGCTTAACCGTAGGTGAAGCGTGAACGAGTCGTACCATTACTGAGAGGCAGAAACAAAGACGAGTCGTACCATTATTGAGAGGCAGAAACAAAGACAAAGCCACGCATCAGCACGGTTCCTCACAAATAAGACACGATCCACTAAAGTAATGTTCACGCTTTACTCACGATTTGCACGATTCACATCAGTCTGACAGAAAAGGTATAAAAGCACCGGCGATCGAAGTCAACATCACTCCAGTTTCAACTGCTGTAATGGAAACATTGAAACATGGCAAGAACAAAAAGAACGGAAAACAGGAAGAGGGTTCTACTTATCCACCATCTTTTCTTGCAACCCAGTGTACCTCATTCGCATTATGTTATGAAGACACACGGCAGATTAATTCAACCATAATCATAACCACATATGGACCCTGTTGCGAAGTGTTGAGAAGAAATTGCCATAGGTTTGCAAGAATACCAAAGGCATCCTCCATGACTCTCCATTCTCTGGAGATCCTGTAGTTGGGAATCAGTTCAGCTTCTGACAGACCTCTTCTTGAGTAGGATTTCCTTAGATATTGACGAAGGGCAAATTTATCATCTGCAAGTATGAAGTAAGGCATATCCAGATCATCATTTGGCAATGGTTCAGGTTCGGGCAAGCATATCCTGCCATCTTCTATACACTCCTTCAACTTCGTCCACCTATAGAAATCTGTAATTAGCATCTACAAGGACCAACAGGATAATGGAGAAGAAACCCTTGTAGTTGTGGTAGATGGTTCCACTACCAGTTGGCTTACGAATCGCGGCTTGTTTTTCATCGAGGGTAACAATAGCATAAGGGAGATTCCATCTCTGCTGGAATTCCAGACTGATGGTCTTCCAATCCCCTTGAGTGACAGGACATGCAATCACTGTAACCTTGTAGTGGCTTGGCACATCGCTGGGATGGCTATGGTGTGTCTTGACACTCTGAAGTGGTGGGAGAGGGAGGAGTACATGTCTCCAGAGGCTAGGGGCCTTATGGTAACTGCTAACTTCAGATCAGGGTGCAGAGCTTTCCTGAAGTTGGTGTCTATTTTTTATAAGTCTGGGAGACAGGGAATGAAGCAGTTCATCAAACATATCAGGAGGCATTCGCAGATAGTTGAAGAAAGAAGACGTGTCTTCGAATCTGAGTTCAGACAGGAGATTGTCATAGTTTCCAAAGTTCAATCGTCTTTCCAACCTCAACCACGGACGTACCCAAAACAATTTCTGTTTTCTTTTTCTTTTTGGTGCCTGGTTCCTTCCGTATTGATAGATATCTATCTCCAATCCCATATTTTGTTGCAGCAGAAGAAGTAGTTGTGCAGCTGTTAGCATGTTGCTAGATAATAAGAATCGGCTGTCATCGTCAGCTTTTATAGCCCAGAATCGGGACCATTGTGTGGTTTGGAGGCCGATTTTACGTGTCTTACACGGCAATTATACGTACTTTACTTTACGGCAATTACGGCAATGAGTCTTTGATATCGTAAGCCTTACATCGCTGTGTTGGCGAGCATCGTGAGGAATCGGGAGTGAATCGTAGATATATCGCCGCAGAAACGTGATTTAAACGTAGCCAATCGGCCGATACTGGGTGAAATCGTATCAACAACGGGTGCTCAATCGCAGTGTTATCGGCATTTATAGGTAAGTCTACAGTCTCTTCATCGTCTGTTACGTAGGTTTACCGTAGATACTGCGTAGAAAAGGAAAAAATAAACAAAAACTGGCCTATTGAGAACCATAGCATCGTAGGTGGCGAATCGGCACTAGTCGTGGTAGTCTTGGTAGGTCGTAGCCCAGTGAAATGGGGGTATAAAAGAGACTTGTGAAACTTAATAGACGGGACATTCTTGGTGAATTATCTTCAAACTTCAATGAAAACAGGCAAGTTCCTATCAGCAAACGAACAATTCAGTATCAATTTCATTCACATGGCTTCAAACGTCAGGTTTCAAAGAAGAAAGTTGTTGTTCGAGAGATCAATCGTAAAAAGCGAATTCCGTGGTGTCGTGAAAAGAGAAAGTGGACAGTGAATGATCAGTGGAAAAAAGTTATATTTTTTTATGAAAGTAATATTGTTATTGGACAAGATACACGTGTATACGTATGGAGGCAGACCGCCCCAGAGAAATGGGCAACTTCCTGACCATACCAATCCATTATATGTCCTTGTAAGTTCTGTGTCTTAACTAGTTATAGCAGAGACCATATAATAGAATTATATGGTCTCTGGTTATAGCGATGGATATAGGTCAATGAGGCTTTCCTTCATTGAACACACGCTGTGCTGATCACAGCTGATGACCTTCTAACCTCATTTGGAACAATGCACTTGACGACAGCCGGCTTGGTAGGATTCATCTGGCCGAGGTCTGTTAATATGTATATACGAATACAAGGCTGTTTAATCGTATATATAATGCCTCTTACACGAGTCTGACTATGCATATATTCATTAACATTATCACATCTTACAAATATGTTGGACCCGTAAAAAATGTTAGCATTGCTCTTCAGGAACCCATGTTGAAGAGGGAACTGACGTGTTCTCACGTATCATAATCGATGCTCATAATGTCATTACCATGTTGTGCAAGTCTTATGTCAATGTCATTTCAGATATTGCTAAAACAGAGGCCTGCATATTTTATGAACATTGTAGTACAAGCAAAGTGTTCATATTGATATATTCGCTAGGAATGTCATTGAGTTGTCCACAAAAGTAGTCACTTAATGTTTCCGTCGCCATGTTGCTGGAATTGCGGCGTTAAGCAAGAAAGAAATCAAACACTTAATGTTTTGCATTTAAAGCAAAACGTTTCTTTCGTAATAGTTATTCGTTAAATATTTCTCTGTGATAAAGTTTCAAGTTTAGATTATACCTCCCCTTGGCCACAAGCAATTAGATGTTCCTCGTTGGTGTACTTTTGTCCAAGTTAATGAGCTGTGACTTTATTTCCAGACTCTGCCGTGTTACCGATGGCCTGCAAATATAGAATTGGTTAACTGTCTTTATATTTCCAATATATTTCTTTTGGTTTGACCAAGCATTCATGCCTGTATATGATCTTGGCACACAACTAATTGGTTTGACATGTGTTTCTCTACATATTCCATGCATATAGGTGCAAATTGTATCTCAATTATACCAAAAGTGTGCCAAACATTTGAAATTGTACAATTTCCTAATCATTTCTATCTGCGCACATTTAATGGAAACGTTTCACTTCTAAAGTTTGAAATAATGTCTGAAACTGTAAAATGTCCAAATAATTCCACTTGGTATGACGGAAGGACGGACAGTCAGTTTATGTAATGTTTGAGGCCACGTAGCCCAGGGAACAATTAGACACATTGCACGGTGATATAATGTATATAGCATAATGCATTTAGCATATGAGAATATCACTTACTGTACAAATGCCTTTTTCAGAAAGATGGCTAATCGTTTGAAGAAGTTTCTTTCCTGATGAAAATCGATGATAGTATATGGGTAACAACATCCCTCTACTTGACTTACAGTGAGGACGCACTAATGCAAAATTATATCGGTCCTCGATCTCCATCAAATTACATATATTGCAGAGTAGGTATTTAGGATATGTGTTTTACAAACATTAGGATCATTTGGTTTGCATTCTCATAAGATCTTTCTCAAAATATTACATTATGTATTATCCAGGTTCTAGTAATGATTTATATGATCCATAATATCTGTGAAATAAGGAGTATATATTTATAGTATGACCAGAAATTATTAAGAATTTTAGGAATATGTTTAAATGGATTTCTAGTATAAACAACCTTGACCAGCTATCAAGTGATTGGTTTCATTCAAGAGAGACAACTCCGTTAATCCTTTTCATTAGTTTGTGAAGAGTTATCCCCCTTTGTTTACTTGCTAGCAGACGACATTTTCAGTGATCCTCAGTATGGATGATTTAGAGAAGAGGAAGTTGATTTTAGAGTATTATAACAAGGACATCAGATCAGCTAAAGTGATTTCAAGTAGAACAGGCATCCCTTTATCCACTGTTTATCGTGTTTTGAAAAATATTGCAAATGGATATGGCATTGAGCACCAGGGAGGCGCAGGCTGGATATGATTGATAGAGGAACTGTGGCTGTCTGTAAGGAGACAATTAGAACTGAGCTGCATGCAATGGGTTGGCAGAAAAGTCGAGGAATTCCATCACCGATCATGAAACCTGAACAAAAGGAGCGAAGGTTGAACTGGTTCTTACAGCATAGAAATTTTACCTGGGACAATGTGATTTTCTCAGATGAAGGTTCTGTGTTGCTGTTTCCTAATACACTGAAATCCTGGACCAAACAAACTGAAAAACCCTTGTATCAGCGCCCAAAGTACAGTCCGAAATTTAACGTGTGGGGTGGCATATCTGTGTTAGGGTAAACGCCCCTCTGTGTATTTGAAGGGAATATGAACAGTGAGCGGTACACAGATATTCTCGAGGGACATTTACTTCCATCTGCTCACGTGTTCTATGGAAATTTTTGGATTTTCCAGCAGGACAACGACCCAAAACATCGTTCAAAGCATTCGCAGGCCTGGTTTCGGACACAAAATATGACATTATGAGATTGGCCAAGCCATAGCCCTGACCTAAATCCAATAGAAAATGTATGGGGACTTATGAACGAAAGTGTCAATGAGAAAAATCTGACAAATATTGCTGAAATGAAAGAAGAGGTGTTCCGATATTGGGACAGTACGGGCCACGACTTTCTAACTTCTTTGATCAGTAGTATGCCCTGCCGCATTGAAGCCTGCATTGCTGCCCATGGTGACATGACAAAATACTAACAGTTCACCTGTCTTTGAATCTGGAGTTCAGTCAATATTCACATTTAATATGAGAGTAATGAGTGAAAAAAATATAAAAAATACAATCTTAAATTATCAATAATTTTTGGTTTGTACTGTATAACATGTATTTCCTTACGTTATGTATGTTTTGAGGTAAACATCAGACAGAGCATACATATATTTACGGAGTGATAAGATATGATATGGTCACTTGACTTCATCCAAAATGTCTCGAATATATATCGAACTACGGTTATCACAAACTAAAATTAGTGATCCCTTTGAGTTTATTTTAATAGTAGTTTACTGTATGTAGCCTACTCTCGCCTTATCGAATGCCCCAAATGATTGTCTTTACGTGCAGGTTGGCCCTACAGAAGTTCTTTCGTTGACGAACTCAAACGGTCAAGTAATTTTAGTTCGTTATAACCGCAGTTCGTTGTAAGCATTTCGACTATAATATACAGCAAGTGGCCGAGACAAAATCGTTATATCCATCAGCCCCTTATCAAAAGTCAGGAACACTGCCAAGCCAGCTGTCGATCACTGTCCCATGAAAGTCAGGATGTCGCGCGATTACCCTATCAGTCGAGCAGAGAGTCAGTCGAGCATATTTCGCGCATCATGGAATGTATTCACTTTGTGCACTTTCTCCATTCTCTGAAGAACCGCAACAATACAATTTCAATCCTTAAACAAAGGAGCCACGTGGGAATTGTTGATTACATTTCTTTATTGAATTTCGTCAACACTCTGTATCAAATCACTTTCTTCTCCAACACGTACATTAAAATCACTACAGAATCCCTTTATCTTAAAAAGAACAATATTTCTCTAAAATTCTACTGAAGAAAAATATCTACATTATTTACATGAGTTCTTGCTTGCTTCGTTTGGTTCAGAACGTCGTTGAAATTCCAGGTTAGAATGCAATATAGTCTTGTCACAAGAGACGATTTCTTGGATGAGTTGGTTAGATTTGTGACGTTATTGGTTGAGAGTCATTGTTAAATGAGAATTTGAAGGAAGTAGTTCTGGAAACAAAGCGATAATACGATTTTTATTAATACGATAGTATTATGAAAACATCGAAATGATATTTGATCCAGGTTGATATGTGTTTTCAGAGTGTTCATCTACAGCTCCTACACAATTCTGGCTCATCTGTGTCTGGTGGAGGGGAATCTGCCGTTCAGGTCGTCGTCCGTCGTTCTCTCTGCGGAGGTCCTTAAGGTTGGTTGAAAACTCATCAATACTCGTAAAGAGCCTTCAACCAGCCCACGTAGATAGCCCTGTATATACTTACAGATTCTTATTCCTCTAATCTTAGGGGTTTTTCGTGTGCAATGAAATGAAATGAATTGAAGGTATTTAGACGTGTCCGTCGGCTTGTAGTAAATATCAGTCTTCAATTGACCGACCGACAGAGTCCTAGGTCCCGTTTTACAAAGCTGTCGTAGCGCTGCGACTGTCGTACCTCCTATACTTTAACAGAGACTTACGACTGTCGTACCTCCTATACTGTAACATAGACTTACGACAGTCGTACCTCCTATACTGTAACATAGACTTACGACTGTCGTACCTCCTATACTGTAACATATAGACGACTGTCATAGACTTACGACTGTCGTACCCCCTACACTGTAACATAGACTTACGACTGTCGTACCTCCTATACTTTAACAGAGACTTACGACAGTCGTAGCTCTACGATAGCGTTGTAAAACGGGGCATAGGACGTATTATGGTGCAAACGTCCTCGTAATTTAACAATAACAGCGCAGGGCAAAAGTGTACTGTATGACACTACACATGGGGATAGAGCGAACTGTATTTCCTAAACACATTGAAGATATAACATTTGTGTTGTAGATTGTCCTGTCCATTACCATGATGTTACCTGAACTGGGTCGTGGTGACGTCACAATGCCGTCATTGTCCCACTGTCTCCCATTCGTGGTACCAGCCGTGCTATACTGCATCAACAACAACCTTAGTGTGTACATGCAGGTTGAGATGGACCCCACCACCTACCAGGTAATGTTCAGACTTTCTGCCACCAACAGCCTGGGTTCGAATCCTAGTTAGAAACCATCGTCCAGGGCTAAAGTGCTACCAAACACACCACACTGTAGTCTTTGGCTTAGCTTAAAAAGCTCGTCGAGCAAAATACCCGAATTCACCTACAATTCCTCTTACGCCACAGACAGCAATATTCCAGCTGTATGACGGCGACCTGTAAATAATTGAGTATGTACCATTTAATCCAGCGATTGACATCATGAACATCGTTCTATGCAATTTGGAAACGATGACGTGTGTTAACCACCCGATCCAGCTGTAGTCTCTTCTTACGACAAGCATCCCCACATGGGTACAATGTGTGAAGCCCATTTCTGGTGTCCCTCGCCGTGATATTGCTGGAATATTGCTAAAAGCGGCGTAAAACCAAACTCAGTTAGTCAGTCTTACGACAAGCAGGGGTTGCTGAAAGTAAATGTTAACCCGGATCTTTACGGGTGATGTCTACGGGTGATTATTAAAAGCAGTTTCATGCAAATTAACCGATTCTCTTCCCAGGTCGGGTTCTGTACGTGTACTTTTGGGTAACACCTTCCACGGTAGTGGTATAACACTGCCAAAAGCAGTTTCAGATATCACTGTCACAACTGATGCTTGTGTTACCATCTGGTAATCATGGCTAGTTTCTCTCAAAAGGGATCGTGCACATGATACCAGTATATCAACACTTGGTATAGTGCTGGGTTCCAGTATTGGTCTAGAAGCCAGACCCCCAAAATGGTGAAAATGTGGTGCAGTTCTGGCGACCAAACGGGATGTGATTTTTCACAATCAGAAATGATTTAGGTTTGATTTGAAGCCGGTTGTCATCAGCTACCGTGCGTGACTACCGTGCAGGGGCCCTTTTAAGGTGCAACACGTCATGTCAGTTATGGCAATATTTTAACCGAATACTGGATGGTTTATTTTAATAACTCTGGTTTGGTTTGACGGATTTTCATTAAAACATATTTTTGGAATGCTCAGACCATGATTTTAAGTTGTGGACAATAATATTACATATATGCTCATTGCAAAAATATTTTGGTAAGGTTAAAGGTCAATTTTAATAGAAAGGGCATTTGATGAGAAAATATGAGTTGAACTTTACAAAGTAAAGGTAATTTTTCAAAAATTATGTTTTTCTGATTCAGCTATAACATTTGAAGATCATATATACCGTTGGTTGGCATTGTATTCATGAACAATCATTACAAGGAAACAAAGGTTGGCAGTTTGTATTTAGATCAGCAAATTATTACACAATGTCTGTTCAACAGTAACAGCACCATGCTTTACATAGTCAACGATACTAAATATGTCAAAGATACTGTTGGACTATCCTTAAAATCACACAACATAACAGAAAGCTCTCAAATGTATAATTCAATTATTCAAGATGTCTTTCCTTATTCATCAAATAATAATGAGTCTGTCATGTCATCATAACAGAAGCAACATTGCCTTCATATCAATTCGTACTTTTTGTTCATAACAGTCATAGTGTATTCCCACTTGACATGTTAGTTAATGTCAACATTGCCAAGATCACGGGAACATGTTTCAAGTCTACATCCACATGACGAAATACACAACAGGTTGGTTCAACTTCTTGGAGGTACGACTTCATGTACATTGACGTTTACATGCACAGATATGTTGAAGAAGGTCCACGGAAACAATTTAGTCTTAACTTAATTGCAACTTTATCACAGAGTAACGGAGGAATATTTGATGAAGACAGAAACGTACTGCTTTAATTGCAAAACATTAAGTGCCTGCTTTTATGGACAACTCAAAGGAATTCCTAGACTATATTCATTTAAACATCTTGCTTCTAACTTTCATAAAAATATGCATACCTCGGTTTTAGTAATATATAATGATATACACAACGGAGTTACACATAGCATGGTCATGACACTATGAGCATCGATCTTCACATGTGGGATACGATGGCATGCATCAAACAAGTAAGTGAGAACGACCACCCGATCATATTAGTTCGCTCTTACAACATGGGGTGCTGAACATTAATATTGGCCCAACATATTTGTGAACCTGTGAGAATGGTTAATGAATAAATGCATAGTCAGTCTCATGATATCTGTTGTAGATCATTCCAAATGCTATTATTGAATGTATGTCGCCAATATCTTTTCTGGTCTCTGCAAAAGTCGTACCTCAGAGAGCCAATTGTCAAGTTACATTTAATTACTATCAGCTATTCAATACACGCACAGAAGTTGGTATTTAAGTTGACAGACGCTTTAGAATTATATTTTGCGCGGAAAACCTTGAATCGTCTATACATATTGAAAGTATTCAGTGACCTCGTCTAGATGGATACTAAAACACCAACTGTCGTTCATTTCCCGATTTCAGTATGTCGCATGACTGCGTTGTCCTTCAAGCAGAGTGAATGAATTGACAATAGTAATCGCTTCATGGAATTGGCTCACGTGAATCACTATCTTCATCAGCTGATGAAGGTCGACAGTACAACGTCAGTTCTAAAATATTGAAAGACTTCACCCAGATGGCCATTACCAAGTCGGCTGTAGTCTACTGCATTGTTCCAACAGATATGAAACCACCAGCTGTTATAAGCAAAGCGTGTTTCAAATGAAGGACATCTTCTGCTTGCCCAGACCTATATATTTATCCTCCGAAAATTCATGTGACTCTCCCGGCAATAGTTATGGTTGCGTGAACATGGAATGCGGCTCTCCAGGCTATGCTGTCAAAACATGCTTAGTGATTCAAACAGGTTACCGTATTTAACAAAGCAAGACATGTTTCCTCATAATTTTATTCAGATCACAACAGATTTTATTTCTATAATTAGCACAATATAATATACTAACATTACATATAATATTATCACATTATAATAAAAAATCTTAATCTGTAAAAACATAATAATAATGATAATGGTTTAGTTTGTTGCCATGTGTACCTTTCTCATGAAAACTTCCTGCTGCATTGTGATGCGTGGACGTCCACTTCTTGGTCTATCTACGGTGACCCCAGTCTGTCTGTAGCGCTGAATAAGTCTTATAACCGTGATATGGTGGCATCCGAGGGCGTTTGCAACAGCATTGTATGTCGACCCCATCTGCAACATCCAAATGGCTCTTTCCCTCTCTTCCGCTGTTACTCGTGGCACATTTCTCGTGCTTGTGTATCATATCATGCATTCTTGGCTCTCTTTATACCCTATAGAATCATTCTACACGTAAAATTGATACACATACTGCTTGAATATTGCTACGTTTTGGCGATTGATATTGCTGTGTGTGTAAATGTTACTTTGCAAACAAAACTGTAAACAAAGATCATTGTCGGTGTTCCTAAACACTTTTGCACAATATCAAAGACACGTTTTATTTGTTTTCACTATTGCGAGAATAAGCAGAAAATGTTTTAAAAGACTGAATTCCTAGGAATGATCCTTTTACAATTTTCACAGACTCTACAACAGGTGTTACTTGTTTTAAAAATTGAAAAATGGTGACTTAAAATGGTTTATCTCTGGCTTAAGCAGAATTGTATTTCAACCTTTCTTTTGGACATCTATTTTAAATCACTGTTATTGGTTTATTTCGGCATGGTCGAAAATATGACAAATTAATCTTCTGAAAATGATGCAGTTCACCTAAATATGAATGCGTTTCAGAATTTGATTCGTGATTTGCATAAAGCTGGGTTGTTAAGTTGGATCTTTTTAAGCTAATACCTTCTAACATTTATTTTTATTAACGTAATTCATAGATGGTAGGAGGGTAACGTTTCTTTTGGCGTTTAGCGTAGGAAGTCTTTTACCGGTTACGGTAATTCATTAATTATTTAATCTATTAGAAATGTGGCTTTACCGGCTACAGCCATGTAATTGAAATGTGGCTTTCCCGGCCTGACACCGGTCGCTGGGACCTTACACATGCCAGTAGTCTCATACTCCAAACTTTCGGCCCAACCCTTTCTGTAATGCAATAGTCCAAAGTGAAGCCTGTTTAGACCCCCACTGGTTCTGAATTTCCGACCTCACCACTGGGGCTAATTAACCATATAGGGAGTTATATACTGCTATCCAAATTTCCTATTTTCAGAAATTTGTAAAATTGATAAAGTTGCAAATAAGTTAAGGCTAAATCGTTTCCGTGGACCTTCTTCAGCTTCATGTCTGTGCATGTAAAAATCAATATACAGTAAGGTGTTGCCCCAAGAGGTTGAACCTGTTGTGTACATGAGCATGTGGATGTGGACTTGAAACAAACATGTCAACATTGACTAACATTGACTAACATGTCAACTGGGAATACACTATGACTATTAGGAACAACAGACACGAATATTGTCTAGGAATTCCTTTGCGTTGTCCATAAAAGCAGGCACTTAATGTTTTGTATTTAAAGCAGTGCGTTTCTGTCGTAATAGATCTTCATAAAATATTCCTCTGTGCCTCTGTGATAAAGTTGCAAATTAAATCGTTTCCGTGGACCTTCTTCAACATATCTGTGCATGTAAACGGGCAAGGTACAGGAAGGTGTACCTGCAAGAGGTTGAACCTGTTGTGTATTTCGTCATGTGGATGTAGACTTAAAACATGACAATGTTGACATTAACTAACATGTCAGCTGGGAATACGCTATGACTATTAAGAACAATAAATACGAATTGATATGAAGGCAATGTTTCATTAGGATGTCATATTATTATCCATCATTTTTAAGGGTTTCACAGCATGTCAGTGCAATACTGACACTTATCAAAATATATCTCCTTCTGACATCAGCTGAATTGTTGTTTCTGCCAGAATGTCAATAAACGCAAATATGTATGACAGTTCAACAGTATCTTCGACATATATAGTATTGTTGATACTTTGTAAAGCATGGAGATGAAATTATCTTATATTTTGCTGATCTAAACACAAAGTAGCAACCTTTGTTTCCTTGTAATGGTTTTTCATGAATACAATGCCAACCAAAGGTATATGTGATCTTCAAATGATACAGCTGAATCAGAAAAACATAATTTTGCAAAAATTACCTTTAATTTGTAAAGTTCAATTCATATTTTCTCATCAAATGCCCTTTCTATTAAAATTGACCTTTAACCTTACCAAAATATTTTGCAATGAGCATATATGTAATATTATTGTCCACAACTTAAAATCATGGTCTGAGCATTCCAAAAATAATTTTTTAATGAAAATCCGTCAAACCAAACCAGAGTTATTAAAATAAACCATCCAGTATTCGGTTAAAATATTGCCAAAACTGACATGACGTGTTGCACCTTAAAAGGGCCCCTGCACGGTAGTCACGCACGGTAGCTGATGACAACCGGCTTCAAATCAAACCTAAATCATTCCTGATTGTGAAAAATCACATCCCGTTTGGTCGCCAGAACTGCACCACATTTTCACCATTTTGGGGGTCTGGCTTCTAGACCATATATATTACGCAAACAGTTAGTTTAGTTTTATGCCGCTTTTAGCAGTAGTCCAGCAATATCAGGGTAGGGGACACCAGCAATGAGCTTCACACGTTGTACCCATTGGGGAATTGAACCTGGGTCTCGGCGTGTCCACTGCTACCCAACCGCCCTATTACCCAGAGAAGACAAAATATTGATGGAGTATTTGTTCGCAGATTCTGGGCAACATGAAGGTGGCCACCACGGCACTGCTCTACAGGGTCGTCATGCAACGGTCAGTGATCTGGATTTTATAATATACATATATTTCACTTCAGTATCAAATGTTCTCGTCACGATATGGCTTTAATATTGCCGATGTGACGTTAAATATTAACTCACTCACTCACTCACTCACTCAGTGATCTGGAACATAATTAGGGTTTGAATTTAAATACGTTCATTACGGAACGTTTTATTACAGCCTATGGAAGCGTCTATAGTCATATTCCTTGGTCTGCGTTTTCATCTTCGTAGGTGATACTTATATCTGTGTAGATGATACTTCAATCGATGAAAAATATCGTCATTATCAATTAAGCTGGAGGTTACAAAGTCCGACCCTGAACAGGAGTGTTGTCGTTTAGTTGACTAAATATAGTTGCTAAAGGCGGTGATCCGATACTAAGCGACACGTTCTCCTAAAGGGATTATAATATCATGTACGCGAATGAATCATCTATGCGAAAGTAGTATCAACGCGAATGTATCATCCACGAATGTATCACCTACGTGAATGTATCATCTACGCGAATGAATGAATGTATCATCTACGCGCATTTATCACATACGTGAATGTATCATCTCTGCGAATGTATCATCTACGTATCATCCACGTGAATGTACCATCTACGTGAATGTATCATCGAATGTAGTGTATGCGAATGTATCATCTACGCGAATGTATCATCCACGTGAATGTATCATCCATGTGAATGTATCACCTACGTGAATGTACCATCTCTGCGAATGTATCATGTACGCGAATGTATCATGTACGTGAATGTATCATGTACGTGAATGTATCATCTACGCGAATGTATCATCCACGTGAATGTATCACCTACGTGAATGTTTCATCTCTGCGAATGTATTATCTACGTGAATGTATCATCTACGCGAATGTATCATCTATCCGAATGTATCATCTATGCGAATGTATCATCTACGCGAATGTATCATCTAGGCGAAATTATCATCTTCGCGGATGTATCAACGCGAATGTATCATCTACGTGAATGTATCATCTACGTGAATGTATCATCAACGCGAATGTATCACCTAGGTTAATGTGTCATCCACGTGAATGTATCATCTACGGGAATGTATCATCAACGCGAATGTATCATCAACGCGAATGTAGTATCAACGCGAATGTAGTATCATCTACGTGAATGTATCATCAACGCGAATATATCATCTACTCGAATGAAGTATCATCTACGTGAAAACAGGAACTACGTGAATGTGGTATCCACTAGATACGTTGATGATACTACTGGCTTGTAGTATCGTCTACATGAATGTAGAATCATCTACACGAATGTATCATCTTAGCGAATGTAGTACTTATCATCTACGTAAATGTAGTATCATCTACGTGAATGTAGTATCATCTACGTGAATGGTATATCATCTACGTGAATGGTATATCATCTACGTGAATGTTTTATCATCTACGCGAATGGAGTAACCCGTGAAGGTCCGGGTTAGAATGAACTTTCAGTAACCCATGCTTATCGTAATAGGCGACTAACAGGATCGGGTGGTCAGGCTCGCTGACTTGGTTGACACAAGCCATCGGTTTCAAATTACGCAGATCGATGCTCATGCTGTTGATCACTAGATTGTCTGGTCCTGACTCGATTATTTACAGACCGCCGCCATATATGGAATATTGCTGAGTGCGGCGTAAAACTAAACGCACTCACCACTAGATACGCGAATGAAGTATCAGCTTCGTGAATTTAGTATCAACTAGATACCTATATGTAAGTATCTACTAGGTGATGAAAGAATATTCTACGTAGATGACAACATGTTACAGATTGTGCCAATAATATGCTTCTATAATAGCAAGATCGAATTTAAAGTGTCGTAGAATACCCAGCTCTAAGTACCATACCTAAACCGTTACAATTTTCATCTCATCTATGTAGGAATTCTTGAATAACATGGCTCGTTTTCGATCCCCATGCGCATAAATATCTGTGCTCTTGGATAAGTAGTTATGCGTCGGAATATGTATCTGTGCATTGGGATAAGCATCTGTGCATTGGAATAAGTTGCATTTGGGATAAGTAGCTGTGTAATGGGATAGGTAACTGGGAATAAGTAGCTGTGCATTGGAATAAGTAGCTGTGCATTTGGGATAAGTAGCTGTGCATTGGAATAAGTAGCTGTGCATTTGGGATAAGTAGCTGTGTATTGGGATAAGTAGCTGTGTATTGGGTTAGGTAGCTGTGTATTGGGATAGGTAGCTGTGTATTGGGATAAGTATCTGTGTATTGGAATAAGTAGCTGTGCATTGGAATAAGTAGCTGTGCATTTGGGATAAGTAGCTGTGTATTGGAATAAGTAGCTGTGCATTGGAATAAGTAGCTGTGCATTTGGGATACGTAGCTGTGGATTGGGGTAGGGACCTGTGGATTGGGGTAAATACATGTGTCTGTACAACTGACTTACAGCCAGAGTTGTTTTAGTGAGCAGTGCTTGACAACTCTATTCACGATGGCTTCCTATACTCTGGAAGGTTGGAGGGAAAACTGTAATGTAGTTGTTGTTTATTTTACGAGCGCTTTTCGTTGATCTGTTTCAGCACTCGAAATGTTTTGAGTAATAAAAGTCATTTAACATATTGTGCAAATTACTCCTTTGCTCGTCATATACTGTATAGCACAATCTGATATGAGTTTAAGAACCATATTCTGTTGAAATGAACCAGCATTTTGTTCTAAAATGCTGCAATGTAAATATTACTACATATAAACACGGTGGTAGGTTACTTCTAACCCCATTGCTTTGTATAACGGCTTTTGCAGATGATCTGCTTCCATCATTAGATAATTTAAAGCGCATTAAAGCTTGCCTTGTGGGCGATATGCTGTCTTAAAAGGTCTGAATAAAATGTTCACCTCAAAGGGCTGTGTGAGCAAGATACCGACTGGATTTATATAATATAATATGGCACGATAGCAGGCTAGGCGAGTGAGACACTTCCGGGATGTTAGAAGAAGATCCTGACTCGAAAGATCTTGACTAATTAATAGGGCAAGAAGGCACTGTCGAGGACTGGGCGAACAGGATGGTGATTAAAACGGCCCCTTCTAACGAGGTATGGCGTGTCTAGGGTGCAGGCATGACGAACTTGTTCATTGTTTTCAAGTGTAGAATTGAATCAGTCTACATTTTACTTGTTGATTCAGCAAGCTGAGCGGCGTGCAGTGGATGTCCCTGGGAGTTCTGTGTTTGTCCGGCATCTTAGACAGGTAGCTGAACACTGTAGACAGGTAGCTAAACACTGTAGACAGGTAGCTCACCACTGCAGACAGGTAGCTCAACACTGTAGACAGGTAGCTGAACACTGAACACTATAGACAGGTAGCTCACCACTGCAGACAGGTAGCTAAACACTGTACACAGGTAGCTGAACACTGCAGACAGGTAGGTCAACACTGTAGACAGGTAGCTGAACACTGTAGACAGGTAGCTGAACACTGTAGACAGGTAGCTGAACACTGTAGACAGGTAGCTAAACACTGTAGACAGGTAGCTGAACACTGTAGACAGGTAGGTCAACACTGTAGACAGGTAGCTGAACACTGTAGACAGGTAGCTGAACACTGTAGACAGGTAGCTCAACACTGTAGACAGACAGGTAGCTGAACACTGTAGACAGGTAGCTGAACACTGTAGACAGGTAGCTGAACACTGTAGACAGGTAGCTGAACACTGTAGACAGGTAGCTGAACACTGTAGACAGGTAGCTGAACACTGTAGACAGGTAGCTGAACACTGTAGACAGGTAGCTCAACACTGTAGACAGGTAGCTGAACACTGTAGACAGGTAGCTCAACACTGTAGTGGAGTTATGATCAAAGCGATCTTAGCGCTAAGGCCACCTTAAGTCAGTGTTGGAGTTAGCGTAGCGCTAAGATTGCATTGATCGTAACTCCAACACTAACTTAAGGTAGTCTTTGCGCTGAGATCGCTTTGTGCAAGTGGACCCCAAGTGCCATCTGTATCTATCACTATTGAGCTAAACCTGCTGGACACATACAAGCATTGATAGTCGAGGGGTAAAATGACAATAATATCATGAATACGTCCAAAGAAGCTGCACCATTCTATATAGAATACCATACGGATATAGATATATGTGTGTGTGTGTGTGTGTATGTGTGTGTATGTGTGTGTGTGTGTGTGTGTGTGTGTGTATAACACACTTTTATGCTCAGTGTAACCCCTCGTTCACAATATGTTCAGACAAGAATTAGATCTAAAATGAAGGGCAACATAACGTTATCATGTCATGCGGAACAAGAGGTTGATGTTCTCTATAACCTCTTCCACTTTGTCTAGTTATGGCAGCATGCAGAACAAGGGCCTGTCTGGGGAAATACACCTGACAGTCACGGGTTCGCCATGATGTGCGCCTACTGTTGCATATCAGCCCTGGCCGGAGTCTCCACGGAATACATATTCAAGAGACAATATAAGGTAGTGCGCCGTACTTTGTGGTGAAATACTTTTGATGAGTTGAAGGACACAGTTTCGCCCACACATGCCTGTGTTGAAGACATCACTGGCTGGTTCAATTCATTTTTGTCCATCATTTTTAAACAGGGTTCAGCGTGTAGATGATCAGCAACTGGATAAAGAAATATTTTGTGTACGTTTTTAGGTTTTGGTATCATAATCACAAGTTTGATAAAAGCATTTATCTTACCTTCATGTAAAATACTTTAATTTCATGGGTCAATGACGGTTTAACAGTTTCCGTGTCACCCTCCCAGGAGGGTGACAACTGGTAAAATATTACCCGCTGCCACGGTAACCGCCAAGCTCTCCACCGAGAAGCTGAAGGGCTAACAATCGTATGACGTCATAATGTGACGTATGCCGTGCCTTGGGTTCGAAAACCGTTCGATCAGCTGTTTTGTGTTCATTTTGTACAGATTTATTTTACCGACTTTCACTACTTTATTTACGCTATTTTATACATTGGGTGGTTTGCACACTCAGCTTAAACATAATTAACAATTATTATAGCAGTTTTATGCTTGTCAGAATATGTTTCACTAAATTTAAAGATCCAGCCGAGAGGCAGACGCCATTTTGTTTACATGTCATATAGTCGGTCGCGATCTTTAACATAAAATAAAATGATATTTTGTACATTTAACATGGCGGTAAGATAAATAGTTGTATGCTTTCCCTCGGTAATATGGTCTGATGTACGCCTCTTTGTAGCAGTGTCACCCGAGCCAGTAGACGAGGGATGACACTGCTACAATGAGGCGTACATCAGGCCGTATTACCCCGAGAGAAGCATACATACAACTTATAATCTACCGCAAAGACCCACTGAAGAAATCTAGAAGAGAACCTGGTCACTCGTAGGTAGACTGCTACGTCGAGGTAGGCTGTATACCATACAATGGTGTCAGTTTCTCGTAACAACAATACTTGTCGTGTGTTCAGTGGAACCAGTGTCCATTGCCATTTGTGATTTGATTGCCGTAAACGGCAACATATTTCGGAAATGTAATATTGGGAGTTAGCAGATACAGAAAAAGCTAGTTTCAGGATTGATGAAACTTTCCAGGACAGGATCTTTGTCCACCGTTAAATGATAACTCTCTGAACGTTGTTTTCCAGACCTCCCTCCATGTTCAGAACACTTTGCTGTACACATTCGGCATCGTCATGAATGGTGGACTGTGGGCACTGCAAGGGGCTGGGATCGGCAACCAAGACGGTAAGCGTAGCGTACACTCCAACACCGTCGTCAAACTCTGATCACTCGTTACATCGTGGACAACCTCCCGAAACAACACGTTGTCCTTGTTTGTTGTTTAACACAACACTCAGCAATGCTCCAATATAATGGCGGTATGTAAATAATCAAATCGGGATCAAACATTCCAGTGATTGGCATCATGAACATAGACCTTCGCATTTGAGATCGGACCTGAATCAACCAACTTAGAGAGCCTGGCCAACATAATCACCTGTGTGTAGTGTTTTCATCTACCTGACATAGAGACGTTGGTGGAACGACCAGTATCTGTTTGTGTTACAGAAAGACGTTTGATCTGTTCGAGGGCTTCTACATTGAAGACGTGGGTTATTGTTGTGACTCTGGAGGAGTTGTTCAGTCAGTCCTTCTTCTCTTGTCGACTGACTGACTGACTGAGTTTGGTTTTACGCCGCTTTTAGCATATTCCAGCAACATCACGGCGGTCTTCTTGTCGAGATCGGGTAACCATATAGCTAAAGCATTCTACCCTTTACTCCACAGGCCGTACTTGATTCTACCCAGGGGAACAAAAGTGCGCAGCCCAGATATTTTCTTTGAAATTTTCTTGAAAACTGTTATATTTTTTATTTTTATATTATTTTAAATGCAGTAGAGGCAGTTGTACGAAACATCCTCAAGACGTGAAAAATTGAATTGAAAACGATCATTTGGTTTCACACGATGGTTTCACATATATACAGTGACGCACTATTTTCAGCTAAGGCCTAACTGCAAAGCGAACATAACGATACGACCATATTAACTCTCTTAGGTTAAGGTCCTTACCGAATGTTGATGCATTTTAAAATAATGACACTCGTTATATCTTGTACACATTTTGACGGGCACATTGTGGGTTGGAATCCCAGATTTTCACCGATTAGGATCTTGTTTCTCATCACCATACGTGTGCTTGTCTGTTTAACCAAAATTGAAAAAACGCCAAAGCGTGATTGTTTTCTGTCATTAGAGATTTATTCAACTGCATCTAGTCTAAAATTTCAAATAAAAGGCGTATCCCAAACTAAACTCGCCTCACTCACTCAAAGAAAAGGGGCGGAAACCATCCACATCGATGAGAAATCTTTACGATTAGGACCATCTCATGAGCATGTGTTTCTTAATCACTATCAACCATTGATGATACCTGGTATTCGTGAAATAGCTAACGGCTAATGACGCCCTAAAATGGCCCCCTCCACATTGTAATCCTGCGGTAAATAGACCCTGAGCGTGGATGCTTAATTAATGAGTCATTCATTTCGCCTAGTCGCCAATCCCATTTCACAGCTCTTTTAATTTGATGCATATTTTGTCGATCTATATGTGACATACACAACTGAGATATTGTGCTTCATCCTAGGCCTTCAACGGGCTGATAATGTCGGCCATCATGAAGCACGGCAGTAACATCACCCGCCTCTTCATCATCTCCTCCGCCATGCTGCTGACGACCCTGCTGTCTGTCGCCATCTTCCATCTGGCACTCAACGTGTATTATATCGTGTCGTTTGTCCTGGTCGTTGTAGCCTTGTACATGTATCACACATGACACTGTGACTTATCTGAGCCGTCTTATTTATATACGTGGTCCAGTCAATGATCACGCCATGTCAAATCAGAGCAAGGACATTTTGTGTAAGATTTCCTATAGAAACGGAGACATACAGTTGCGTTAAATTACGTAAAAGAGGCAAAAACTCTTCTAATCTTATATTTATTAGCAATCGTTTCATTTGATTCCGTCTTTATCATGAGCATGTTTTGTTGTGAATCTCTAAGAACTAATGATGATACCAAGTGTTAGCGGTAAGGTAATCGTATGCACAAACACATATCATGTCACCTTAATTGTTACCTGAAAGATCACGGGAAAATTATTGTACAAGTCAAACTAGAGAATGGCGTCGGACACATTTTAAAGAAGAAAATTTCAAAAGCGTTAACACTTTGTATCACTTTGAAATCTAATAGGAATTCCATTCTTCACTTGTACCTGAAAGTCGTGAAAATGCCAAGCAGCTGGGATACTGTAGGTCATAAAAGGAAATTTGACTATTTCAAAGGTGAAGTCACCAGAATCCCTTTCATGAAACAGTCTTGGGCAGAGGTATTGAGTCTGGCTGTCTCACTGGTCTGCCTTCACCGGTCTCACAGATCTTCTTTAAAGGTCAAGGTCAGGTTGAGGAGTGATTATCAATTTGATGAGTGATTGTTATTATTGTGTATTATTATGTGTGTTATTAAAAGAATGATGAACAGATTATATTTGGAAATTAAACATTGTTATGTAATAATATAGTATTTGTGTATCGTTTTCTACCCAGGAGCTCTCGGTACTTTATCGTTATGTAATGCAATATGTGTTCAGTGAATGGTTACACCTCTACATATGATCATGATATATACTGAGTAACGTGGACTCCTTTGTAAACAGTTTGAGGTAAAAAGGAAACAATCACACAAAAGACATTTACATTTTATTTAGATTATACTAATACTTCTCTATCAATGTTTACACAGATACACGCAATCACTCACACATATGTATATTATGTACACACAGACCCCGTGAAGATCCGGGTTAGAATTGATCTTCACTAACCAATGCTTGTCGTAAGAAACGACTAACGGGATCGGTGGTCATGCTCGCTGACTTGGTTGACACATGTCATCGGATCCCATTTGTGAAGATCGATGCTCATGCAGCTGATCAGTGGATTGTCTCGGCCCAGACTCGATTATTTACAGCCTGCCGCCATATAGCTGGAATATTGCTGAGTGCTACATTAGACACCAAACAAATAAAACGAGTTCAGATATGACCTTAAATCCCTGGAAAAAAGTACAGTTGTTTATATAAAGTTGATCTTCTCTCGGGAACCTGAGGACTGGCATCTATACCGCTGCGTATTTTCCCAACGTCGTGTGCAACCTGTGAAACGACATCATTATTGAACATTATCTTGGACATAAGTAATACAATCAGACACAGCAAACTGTTAAAACAATAGAAATACCCACAGCAAACAGACAGACAGATAGACATACAAACAAACAAACGTCTGCGTGTGTGAGTGAGTGTTTAACGTCACATCGGCAATATCTCAGCCACATCGTGACGAAAAACAATTTATTCAATAAAGATGAAAACAGTTTGAAGATGCAAAACATTTTGAAGAGCAAAACCTGTCGACGATGGACAGTAAAAATACTCGGAGTATCACAGATATGAATATAAAACTAGCATGTAAAACTAAAACATTTTAATAAAAGAAGACAATATAATATAAAACACGGGCTATAGATCGCCAAGAACTGAAGGGAGATCACCATACTACGGACCATGGGACTTACAGTACCTTTGCAGAAGCACCTACATGGACCCTAGCTGGATTTGACAGACGTCTGCAATGTGACAAACAGAGGCTGTTAGTGTCCGAATCCACCATGCTCAGGGTGCGTTAGGTACCTAATCCACAGGGTGGAAGCACTGTCCACGCTGAAATGTCCCCGCTTGACAGTGAAAGAAGAACATGTGGCGCAAGAGTAATGGTAAGTTTTCATTATTTTGCAAGTATATCAGGTTTTGCCATTTGGCAGAGGGTATAGAAATGTACAGATCTTTTCTCTAATAGCTTGACACCCTCCATTTATTGCAATTGTGTGTTAAGCGAGGGCACCCTCCTGAGTGTCGGAACAAGATCACAGAAAATGATCGTTTCAACACGAAACATGACAACCTCATCAGCAGACACGCCTTTTGTTCTAGAAATAGTTATTTTAGGTCTTTATTCAGCATGTAGGGTTTAATGCGTCAGTATGTTTTTCAGTTATCGTCGAAAATCAAACTGTACATTTTATATGGAGTTGTGTTGAAACTATCAATTGCGTTGAATGCTTACGTTGAAGTAACTGTCCATGTAGTTGCATAGATTTTAGAGCATGAACTGTCGAAATTCCACAGTTGTTGATACACATTTCCACAGACGTGGCAATGGAAACGGTAGTTGTTGTGATGGATCCCCTAAACGCTATGTTCACACTATAACGATTCGCGCCAAGATTGAAATCGTGGTCTTAATTGTGGACTAATCGTGGTGATCCTATCAAATGTTATCAGGTCTTGAGGTCAGTCAGGCAATCGTGTTGATCGTAGAAAAAATTTGCACGGTTCAAAAAATTTCTACGATCAACACAATTTTATTGTCAATCGTGATCATCGCATCAGATCGTATTGCATCATAACAAAGCGCAACATATCGCATCTAATCGTGCTTAGAAATCGTAGTGGTCGGAATCAATCGTGGACGAGACAAACACCACGCTCTGTTGAGATGTGTTGCGATCTGCCACGATCTCCCAAGATCTGTGACGCTCTATCTGGTCCCACTGCTCACGACCTGACACACGAATGACTCACGAGCAGATACGAGTAAATGCGGAGTAGATACGAGTATTCTTCTTCACGGACGCTCTACGATCTGTTACGAGTTCTTGAGCCCATATATGTACTGGAAATCAGAGGGCATGGTGGTTTTCATCCTCATGGCCCAGCCTATTGTGCTGCAAATGCCTGATGCCCTCAGCCTCAATAGGTTGTGCGGAGCCACTGCCGCCTCCACTATATCCTTCTACAGTATCACAGGCGTGTCACGCTTAGTTACAGCGTTTGAAAGACATATAGGTATGTAGACCTTTACCCTAGTACTATATAAAAGGAAAGGGATGTAACGACGGAACCAATTAACACAACTAATATTTTAAGGCCCCGCCGAGGCCTCACGCATCATCAAAAGCGAGATGATTTCCTACAAAATGAGCATATAAATGGTCGCTACAATCGGGATCATTATTTCAAAAGTTATACGCCACGACTCACCGAAAACAGCCACCTCTGCAATTCCAAGCCAAAAATCATGGATCACCCAAGACAGCGAAAACTCACCTTTAAAAGTGGTTTATTAATTCCAGCCACGTTGACAGCACCTATGTAGGGCTAGATTCGATCGGCAGCGCTATTCCACGGGTCTAAAACTTATTGCAACATCTACAAATCATTTCCTCGACAGTAAGTAGGCATTTTCTCCAAAACCATCAGCAATCATACTCACTTGTCTGCCATAGATGGCCTTGACATTTAAGTGACCTGAGCAGTAAATTTGTAAGAATAATTTTAGAGGTTAAACATTTATAAATATAATTTCCTAAAAAAATGAATCAATATCGCATGCATTTTTACAACCCCTAAAACTATTCACTAGGTCACTTAAATGTCAAGGCCATCTATGGCAGACAAGTGAGTATGATTGCTGATGGTTTTGGAGAAAATGCCTCACTTACTGTTTTCCTAGGGCTCCCTTCTTCCATGCCGTAGACCAGCCCCGAGTTGCCACATATCTTAGCATCTGAAATGTGTCCTTTTCTACCAAGCCTCGATCCACACAAACTTGTAATCTGCATCCATCAGAGCTAGTGGGAGTGGTATCGAAAAAGACGCCCTTGTAATTGACTGCAAGTTTGAGGTGGCTTCTTTGATAGCAATGTGTTCTGCCGCCCAGGGACCCAATGGCGTGGGATATATCCATCTCTGTTCAAACTGGTTCAGGGTCACAGGTAGGCTAAACACAATTGCCTGTCACACTTCTGGAACCATCTCTGAGATGGTGGACACTCCACACCTGAAGGCATACGCAAGGGCCCATAGCTGTCTCCAGCCTCAAGGTGCCTAAGTGTGGGCTGCCAGTTTCAGTCCAGGTGAAACAGGTTGCCTGAAAAATGGTGCCAATCCATCGATTGCTGGGGTCACCATCTGCAGGACTTCATCGAAGAGCTGCGGTGTTAACCTTGTGTAGTTTTGGAACGCTACTGGATCCCTCCAGCCCCAAACGGTTGTCCAGGAGGCTGGAGAACTGTCCAAACTGTGATCCCTCTCCTCTATGAGCTACGGCCGCACCTCGGAGTGCCTGACTGCAGCTCTCCTGGCCCTTTGTGGTCGTCTGTCATTTGGATTTCTCTGCTTTAACAACGGCCATTGACTTGTCCATATCCCTGGTGCCAACGGTTGGAACAAAGGAAGTCATTTTGTATTTGATTTCGCACATTCAACATTGGTTAGATGTCCCTTTGGTTTTCAGATGCTTAGTGATGTGCTTCTACCCGAATGTGCAATGCTAATATCTGAATGATAGTATGAACAATGTACATACTTTGAAATAACCTTGGCCCTGTTTCACAAAGCCTCGTAGCGCTACAACTATCGTAAGTCATTGTTATAGTATAGTAAGTACGAATGCTACGAGAAACATTACGAGATTTTAGGCTTACGAGAGTTTACGGGGCCCAGGACTTGGTTATTCCTGGGGTAGATGTATATTTGGTCTTCTGATCGTACATGTTGGTTTTTTACATTAAATCCCTGTCGAACAAACTGCAATATGGGTGTACAATCGTACTTGATCATACAAAATCGTAATCAATACGCCAAAATACGCCAGGTAGGCAGGTCTACAACAAAGCATTCTTCTTTACAACACAAATATCTCTAGAATAACGTTTGATGACGGTTAAAACTACACACCGTCAACTCCTGACAGTAAAATCTCAACGCAATGGACAGTTTATTTGCTAAATGTGAGCAACTCCATATATAATGCACAGGTTGATTTTTAGACGAAAACTGAAACAAATACTGACGCATTTAAGCCTAAACTGTGAATGAAGACCTAAAATAACTATATACATGTATAAGAATTGACAGCAAAAAAGGCATGTCTGTTGATGAGGTTGTCATATTTCGTGTTCCGACACTCAGGAGGGTGCCCTCGCTTAACGCACAATTGCAATACATAGAGAGGGTGTCAAGCCATTAGAGAAAGATCTGTACATTTCTAGACCCTTCTGCCAAATGGCAAAACCTGATATACTTGCAAAATAATGAAAAATGCGAGGGAAAACTTACCATTACCTTTTGCGCCACATGTTCTTCTTTCACTGTCCAGCGAGAACAGCGCTTCCACCCTGTGCAATCGCCCACCTGGACCAAATCTTCAAGGAATCTATGACCAACGGCCAATCACATGGCAAATCAACCGTGCAAGGTAGCTTTTGTTTGTGATCAGATCAGTAGAAATATGTCGGGGTAAGTTAGGCTCTGTATACAAATATATTGAGAATATCAATGGTTTATTTACTTTATCCATTAATTGTCCCAAATCGTATTCCCTTGCATAGTTTGCGAATACATCCACAAGGCATTTAATGAAATACGACCCTTCTTCTTCGTCTCTCATTGCTGGGTAACCTATAACAGAAGCATGATAGTTACATCTATGCATATCGTTAGTTGTATGTACATATGTAGGCATGGCAATCACGCCTTACTTTCATGTACATATGCAGATGTGGCAATCACGCTTTACTTTCATGAACATATGCATGTGTGACAATCACGCTTTACTTTCATGTACAGATACAGGTGTGACAATCATGCTTTACATTCACGTACATAAGCAGGTGTGACAACCACACTTTACTTCCACGTACATATGCAGGTGTGACAACCACACTTTACTTACACGTACATATGCAGATGTGACAATCATGCTCACGGTTAATGGATAGGTTACGCAAATGACAAATGGCGGAACCGTTGAACTTTGAAACTTCGCTAAACTATGCATGCACAATTTAAGGATACAATTTGAGCTAAAAGATCAGCGAACTTAAAAGACTGAAACATATTTACAATGGGAATGACTGCATTTGCTGCTTTGCTCCACTGGATATAGGATAATTCTGATAGCCATGTTTGGAAATTCAGAGTTCTCTTTCTTGGTAATAGTAATAGACTATTTTCATATCCATGCCTATTTGCGCTTATACAGGGCCCAGTCGTAAAACATGGCCACGAGAGGGGTAATGAGACGCCACCCGGTTTGCCGGAATGACACGAGTTGTTACGAATGATCATCAGCCATGTATATTCGACTACCGGTTGCGCCATGAAGCTTGATTGGCTCATTAGGTACAGCCAGTACTCGTTCTAACAGACACATCGTTTAGATAACTGAAGCCAAACTGTATTAAAGCTCTCGTGACAGGCACTCCACACAGGGTTACGCGTAACCTGAGTCTATACAATCTAAATGGCATTATGGGTAACGATAAAGCCATAACACGTAAACTCCTTTAACCAATTAAAAAGCATATATAGATTTTACCTGAGGCAATTACATTTTATTCGTTAAGCTTAACACCTTTATGCGTAAACAATACAAGTACAGTAAAACCATGCTTATGATGAACAAGCTTGTAAATAAACTGACAATATATATAGCGAAATGTATCTTAACGAATCACGAGAAACAATTGTGTTGTAACTGAATCATACATTCAATATTCATTGTCGCGTATTTACGCGTAATGAATTTTACGATGAAATTAAACAAATAGTATTATGCGTGACATGGCTAGCTGTACACGTATAATGCTGTTTTATGCATGTGGGCGCTTTACGGGTTAACCTTCTTGAACTTTCATAATGACCTTTACACGTAAGGAATTTGGTTGACGGGGTCAAGTACATTGAATTGGTTCACGCATGACATCCCTATTTCAGTTATGCATATATGTTCTCTATGATCATCACTGGATTGTCTGACCAACACCACCGTATTTACAGGCAGGATTATATTTAATATATATGGTTTGGGCGGTCCGGATTGAACTTTACTCCTGGCACGGTTGCAAAGGCTCCAGTAAAAGTGCGCTTCTAGGGGAAATGGGCCAGATGTGATAGGTAGGCACTTCCGTCGAAGTGGCACCCTGAGTAGGAAAGAAATTAGGTTTTCCAACGATTCTTTACTTTTAATGTGTATAGTAGGACTATATGTTTTAATTTGTTTGATGGCGTTAAGATCAGTGCATTGTCACAATTAGGCATTGGAAATTATATGTTGTCTCAACTCGATTGTTTGCTTTCATGTGTCTAATATTACTATATGTTAGTTATATTTTATATTTGTATCTCACTTCCGCCTTTCTGACAAGCCCTGAATAAAGAACAGCTTTGGTTTGTCTGTATGCGATGTGATCAAGTGATCACCAAAAATATCCTTGATTTCCTTTGAAAGACAACAAAGTTGCCATCTGTGCCCAGTACGCCACCGTTTTCGCCATGTGATAAAATCGCAGCAGCAAAGCAGCAATAATCGCTCTTCAAAAATGCGTTGACATGCTCGGCTAATTTCTCCATTATATCCTGAAAAGACATAACTGTTATTATGACTCTGTGATGCGTTTATACGGGATAATAGGTTCGTTAACTGGAAAGCATAAATATCAGAACGTGCTTATCCCACCAAAAAATATAAATCTTAAACATGCTGAAAGTACGACCTGCTTTAATTTAATTTACTACCGCGGTAATCGTAATCAAAAAATAACAACTAGGAATATCTGGTTCATCTCATTTCGCTGTGTGGCTTGGATTTAAAATAAACTCTTCCTTCCAAAACTGGAAGCTTAATAGGCGCTTTCAGCAGTTTTGACAGTAATCGTCATTAAGACAATCCCTATGTTTGAATCCCCGTTAATTATGTCGTGGGTTGTTGAGTATTGGGCACAGACGCATCCCCAAAATGTGTTTTGTAATCACTTGTCAGTAAAATGAAAATACATGAAAAAATTATGCATGAAAATGTGCATGCAAAAATGTTTTCCACGTAATGCAATGCACGCAAATACCATCATTAAGGAGTAGAGACATCGACTATAATACTAAACCAAAGTCATCATTTCATGACGAAATTTACGACACAAACGAAGATACCAAATGCCAAGACTGAATGTTTCTGGACAGAAACCATCGCGATTAGGCGTTTGAAGCAGGAAGTCCCAGCCCGCTTTCGTTGCAGCACACTTCCAACTTCCACCCTCCTCACAGCGCTGAAAGAGTTATGTCATCGATATACCCGCTTCCAATTCCTGACCCAAGATCGCTCGCTAAGCAAAAAGGGAAGACGAGATGACGACATTCCTGCCTGTGCACTGATTCATCCGGGCGTTTCACCCTACGTCGCCGGATTTGCTGCAGCAGTATGAGATCTCGCAGGTGCCTGGTTCCTCGAAGAATTTCCGACAAAACCATCAGAAATCGCCTGAGAGAAGTGGGAATTCGAGCATATCGGACCAAAAGCTTGGACCTTGTCCAGACAAGACTACACCGAACACCGTGACGTCCAATGTTGCAGCAGTGCAAGGCATGGAACGCGTTTGGTCTTCATCAGATGAATCGTGTTTCCTCCTCCTAGAAGCACGTGGGATAGAGACATACGTGTCTATCGACGTCAACATCGTTTTGCACCGAACTGCGCCCTACAGGTGGAGTATTTGTGCGGGAAGCCATGCCCTTTGGTCAGAGTTATAGTGGTGCTTCAAGTGCAATCTTACAGCAAATCGCTACATCGACCAAATCCTCACCTCCTCCCACTTTTCATTGCAGCCAGAGGGAGCTGTTTCGACAACGTTCGACCCTTCAAATACTCGTGTAAAAGATACTCTGCTGCGTTTCTTTTGAATTGAGTGTAACTTACATTTTGTAAGCAAATTTGGTGAATGGAGGGTGCTAATGGGTTACACGGGACATGGTTAACACGAACACCTTGCGCTTCACCGAAGTGGTCCATTCACATGATTTTCACAGCTAGTTTTGCCATTTTACAATCTTCAAATAGAACCTTGTTTCTAAGCTATATAATCGAAACTGGGTATTCATTACATGTATTATATACATTCCATTATCATCTTCAGTGAAACGAGCCTTTGAAAGTGCCGAAATATATTAACTAACTTTATCTTACATGGCCTATTTGTAATTGTTTCCAGTTCGGGTAACCATTGTTTTGAACTGTGAAGAGAATCACGCACAGTGATAACAGGATGGCGTATTTGTACATGCCGTTCAAAATAGCAATTCCTCGTTGAGAACAGAAGGCGAATGTATCCCGCGCTTCTGAAAAATGTATACAGTATCAAAACATTGTGCATTAGCTACAGCAAGATCACCCGCCACTATAAGGTGATGGAAGTTTCTTTCCTATGATCAGACAAAATGTAATTTTAATGCACTGAATCTCTCAGGTATCTTATCTGAATATAATTGGTGAAAATAAACTTCCAACAGTACCTCAGAAGTCAGATTATTTCCTTCCGCCCTAACTCCCCGAATCCCAAAGTCAAGAAAACAAAGTTTGGAGTGACTCCGGCATCTCTTACACCCTGCCATCTCTGTTGGGGTATTTTGGGGATCCTCAAAGACGTAGTTGCTTGACGATGACCATCAGCCCTTGGGAATTGGCTGTCCATCTTATACACCTGTAATTAACAACATGATAATAAGGAACCATGATGTCTTTTCATGTGGGAATGTATTGGCTTAAGTGAAAGAAATGTACGTTTATTGCAAATGCGTAGAACGTGGGCTCTGGTCGCAGAAATACACTGAGATTTCTTGAGGCACCCTAATGAAACATTTGTAATTGGTGATTGTTGTGCATTTAGGACAAGTCAGCACTTTAAATGATGTAGTCATGAGAGAGGTGTTACTTCCTCTGTCTTATCCGGGGCGGTCTTATCCACTCACTCCATTCACTCATATTCACTCCATTCACTCATTCACTACCTACTCATGTTTCTTTCCATACACTTCTATTTGCAATTCTGAGTATGTACTCTAGTTCAGGATTGCTCAAGACATTACATGTACATATATGCACAGTATATTATGGCCTTAGATCTGCAATATAAACACACAAGTTTGACAAGATTAACCAAGTCCTTTTCCAAGTTCAGGGAAGCTCGAACACCGAACCCAGTTCCGCGTTCAAATGTCACCTGCTTGAAAAAAAAAGTCATCGTGTTAAAATGGACAGATCCAAGCCGTGATATCAAAAATGATGTGTGGTCAGTTTTAATTACCGGACGGATGTGCATTTTAAAACATACACAATATCATCATCACAGGATGTCAAGCATACCCATCAGAACTGCCTTCTGAGGGTGTGTGTCTTCGAATCCGCGGATGGACCTAAATCCAACAACAAAAGTACTAGAAATCTGGTAATTCTGCCGGAGAAAGGGGTAAATCCCACCCACCATGCTTAAACTCACCAATCACTATGGAACGTTGAAAATTTCTATCTTGAATTCATCTGGAAGATCAGGAGAGTTCAAAACACGATGGGGTAACCACAACGAAAGTAGTACGTACACCAGAAGCGCTTCAGGACTGTTACAATAACAGTACTGCAAGCTTGATCTAGAAATCTGGTGCTTGAATGTCCTCGTCACAGTGTTTCACCGGAGCTTAAAATGTAACACGTGATGCGTATTAGATAACATATGCAGCCAATCGAGCATCATTATCTCTGATATTGGGATACTTGCCCTGAAAGGTAGGTGGAAAACTGGAGTTTTGCAAAATATCGCGTTAAAAGGTAACACTATAATTTGTTAAATTCATGAAATTATATCGAGATATCCGAAATATTGAGACATCCGTATCGAGTTAAAAAGAGCTTGAATAAATATAAATTATGGAGAATTTTGCTTCACCGAGAGATATTATATCGAGTAATAACCGATATATCGAATTGTCAGAGTTCAGACAATAACGGTGCCCGACTGTATAATGACAATATATGATGTAAAAGTAATCATTATAAAGATATACTTACTACATGTATCAGAGGCCAATGTGACAGAGACTTATTAAATGTCACAGTCCTGAAATGTAATGTTTAGCTTCCAGTGATAATAGACAACAAAATACTCAAAAGAAACGGTAGATACATTTGAGAATTTCCAGGTATTACTTTCGTATTCAAAAATGTACCCCAATGATGATGAATGTTGATGTCATTTTATTAAAGTATAGTTCATCCAAAAATGCTGCTTCTGGAGAATATATACTGAACATCATTGAAAACGCACCACCTGCATACATTTTAAAATATGGTAATAGGATTGTTTTGAGAGTGAAAAATGAAATACTGGAAATGTTGTTAATAACACAAAAAAGACAATAAATAATGTTGTACAGTAAAGAACGGATTGCCTGAAAACATCATGGAACACATGACATGACAACAACGTAAAATTCATGCACAACACTTCATGAAAAGCACAAATTGCATGCAAACATGCTGATTAGGCATAAATGACCGTCGCAAAACCGTTCTCGCCTTTAGCCACCTGCAAGTGCGCAAGTTTATTTTGCAATGCCAGTATTCTTCGTCACCAGAGGAAATGAAACAGGGTGCTGGCATAAGCTGGCGGTTGGCACATCAAGCAGGCGGCCACAGACGATTTGGTTGCCATCATTCCACCATCATAAGACTTGGCTAACAGGTACCTCGAAACAAAACAGGAACCACCAGGGACCGCCAAAGTCCTACAGGCATCGTAAGCTACACCCTCGCCAAGATCGAGTATTGTTTGGGGCCATATCTGGGATCGTACGTTGCCGGCTGTGAACTGCCAACGCCGTCCGCTGCTACCGACGCGGATTCAGTGCTTCCATTGCAGTCCGACGCCGTCTCCGTGCGGCAGGATTACGGTGTCACTTTTCCCTTATGTTGGACCCATCCTGACTGAGGACATGCCGTGAACGCCGACGATGGGCTGAACAGCATCGTTTGTGGTTGTTACGATGTTGGCATGGTGGCCAGGTTCTCCGGACGAGTCACGTTTCACTTTGCGAAATGTTGACGCTTCCACGGCTATGGCGTCGGACGTGGGAGAACGTTGCCAATTGTGACTTCAGCCAGTAAAACAGATCGGTGGGTGGATACAGCATTGTGGTTTGGGAGGGATCAGTTATCACCACAAAAACTGTTTCCGGTAGTTTGTCGTGGCAGAGTGAAATGCCCTTTACTACCGTGACACCATTCTTCAGAACAACGTCAACCCTTCTTTAACCAACATCAAGATTCCGCACACATTCCAGCAGGACAATGCTCGAGCGCATACTGCACGTGTTGCAACACAGTTTCTGGGTAAACAACAACATTCCCTTCTACTTCCATGGCCTGCATTGTCACCTGATTTGTCTCCCATTGAACACTTGTTGGATTTACATCATTAACGCCTCCTCACGTCGCCCACAGATCAACCTTGGGGAACTTGAGAATGCCTTGCAACAGGAGTGGAATGCATTGCCTCAAAACATTATCTTCCAGAGACTTCATCAAGTTCAATGAGGAGACGTTGCACAGCTTGTGTTGCTAACGGTGTAATATACATCGTTACTGACTTCCACTCTAATTCCATCTTTCTTTCATGGTTGTTGAATAAAACTCTACTCTTTGCTGGATTGTTCTGTTTCTTTTCTTTACCAATCATTGGACTACAAAAGTATGTAATTTTACACCGATTGCTCTTCCAGTTTTATGTTCTTGGAACTAAACCAATACAGTGGTGCGTTTCAATGATGTTCAGTACATATTTGTTCCATACAACCCAATACGTGTCCAATAATACAAAATGAAAAACAATATTTACATCCATGAAAATGTATTTAAACTAACGAACTGCCATGGTCCCTGATATATCTCGTCCAAAACATCATATAGAAGATAAGCAGCACTCTAATGCCCACTTCCTATGCTATAATGCAATGGTCTCTACATTCAAAGGTACCCTGTCTTATTTGTAATATACAGTTTCTTTTTCATTTTAGATTCCATTCCAGTCAAACAGTGGTGACAATTTCAGGAATGGAGAGATCAAATAATCAAGGAAAACGTAAGGAATATTTATGATAATATCACTATCGAGAAGAACTGTAACATGCCAAGTAGGTATTCTTGTCAGAAAAAGGATTGTAGACTGCATTATAATTCGTTTATCACGCCAAAGACACTTTGGTTGGATTTTCCAGGCAACGTATTATTGAGCGTTTCATTGAGTAATATATGTTTATCAGTTTTCGAGTTAGATCAGTAATTCATCGGCACGCTTTAAGCCAAACGGAGTATGAAATTCAGGATCCCCATTGTAACGCATCTTAGAGTTGTCCATTTCTAAAATAGAATTGTGTGTTCATTGTCACGATGTAACGTTCCAATGTCTAACTACAAATATACATTTTCCGTCATATAGTCAAGGGTATTCAGAAAAGGGATCGGGGGGACTTTTACCATGTTTCAAACTTTTCGACTTTATGTTTCTATCCTCTTCCTTTGGTATTCAATAATCTCCTTATCCTTCCTTCGTTCTCGTCTGCATTGTGGAAACCCAAGGCAAGGAGCGATGGCCTTCAGACCCTTAAGGCCGAAAGTTCTGGTTCAGTGCAAGGGGACGAATATAGTCCTCAGACTGTTCGAGACGAATATGGCCAACTAGTTCGTCCTTACAAAACGTAATAGTATCATCGGTAGTAATATGTGTATGAACCACCAAATACGTAAGCCAGCATTTAGAAGTAATATTCTTAGGTTTCGTCAACATATTTGGGCTAAAACTTTCGTCTGTCTGTAGACGGACATCAAGACCTGTTCCGTCGCAGTCAGTCATCTCCTCCATTATCTTAAAAGCGTCCTCATATCGTCTCTTCCTCCTTATGCGTGGTATATATCAGAGCAACATCGTGCTCTCTTCGTAAACACCACCCAAGCCAGGCACAGCAGAAGGTTGAGTGGACTGCTTTCAGGGTTCAGGATTCCTGCATCGATGGAAACTTCCTTTAAATCATTTTAAATCTTCCATTCTTCCCTTTCACTGCAAAAACAACAACATAAAGCTGTCAAACTCTACTAAATCCATAAATTGGTATCGGTATATGTACCTGGCCACGCATTTTATACCGATGACAGCAGTAAGTAGGTCTGTACCCATTACTTTCAGTAGCTAGAGGGAAGTATGTGTACATAATAATATATGGCTGATGCGTGTCTGTATTATCTTTCGAATATGATATGGCAGGTGATGTAAGTCTATTATGAGAAAGTAAAGCTAAATGGATACTTTGTGTGCATAAATTAAATATATATGAGTTGAGAAATGATTCACGTATAACTTGAGAAAAAAATAATCACAAATTGTAAGCGGATATCTCGCGCATATTTCTGGTGGTTTGTGCCAAGAATGTTTTGAGCAAAGACTAGCTTCATTGTTTTATCTGGCTAATTTCAACAATAATTAGGGAATTTTAGGGAAGGGTCACGTCGTCAACACGTAAGGTAAGCATGGAAATACATGTGCAATGTATACCATGATGCCACACGAATCGCATGCACTTTTAGTGTTTTACAAAGTTTTACAAACACGTAATGTTTGATCAATACCTGTTATCGCCACTTTGTAAAACATTCTTT